AAAGGAAATCTTAAACATTCTCTTTCTATTTGAAGCAAAAAAAAAGCAACTACAGTATTACTTTCAATCTGAGTATTTTGCCCTCATCCCCCACTTTTCATATTGTTGATGGTGCAGAAGGATTATACTAAAATATTTCTAAAATCAAATTTGTACAAGTTACAGGTATACTTGTTCATGTACATGTAGGTCATTGCTCTATTAATTATTCAGATAAATGTCATAATGAAACCGATAATGGAAGGTGCGATAATCTAAGTTAATAACAGAAAGTGGTATGTTACTTTTTAGAACCCTTTTGTGGATCCAGAATTTTCTGACTGAAGACCATAAATACACCTCTCTCTAGTAATTCATTAGCCATTATTCATAGAAAGACATTGATTAATCCAATTTCATATAATCACATCTACAGTGTACATGCAATTATTCAACAAAGTCTTCTCACTTTCAAGAGCACTGAATCTGGAGTGCAGTGGACTTTGAATCCTCCTTTTCACAAACTGCATGTACTGTAGGAGCTCTGTGTATATTTCTGATAGGGTTACAGATGGGATACATAATACAGCTTGACATACCGGTATTAGGCAGACATATTGGTATGTACTGTACAGTACATGTACCGAATGAATATTTATAATTTAGTGATGCAACACAGAAATGACACAATAAAGTCTCCCAGAAATACTTGTCCTTAACATTAACATAGGGTGTGTGGCAACTGGCAAGCGAATATATAAAGAAATACAAAAAGATATGTAGAGGTTGGCAGAATAGGTGAAAGGGAGATGGAGAAAAGGAGTCAGTGAGATGTATTTGCCAACCAGACTTGAAAGGATCTTTGGAGGAGTAATGTAAAGTGGTTGGAATTTGGTTGCTAAGAGACAAATGCAGTCACCCATCACTCGATATCTTGATTTCCATGGCAACTGATGACATGGCTCGCTGCCCCCAGGGGAATTGGAATTGAAAATAAGGGTTTAACAATAGGCACTGCATTGAGTAACAAACTTGGCCTCGTTTACTCTACAAGTGCATAGATGTAGACGCCTAGACGGCGATGCTTGACTAGACTCTTACCTGTACTAAATGTACAGTACATGTAAAGCATAGAGCCACATCATTGTCGACTACATGTATGTACTGTAGCATTCATCTGTATTTTGAATCAGATTTACATCATCATCATCATCATCATTTACTAAAGTCAGTATTTTACCTCTTACGAGGGGTTACTGACTTTCGCCCCATGATGACACTCCCTCCCTCTAGTCTTGTTCCTGTCCTGAGCATCCTCATTTAGACCGACATTAATGCTTTCTTTCTTCATCTTTCCATGCAGCTCTATATTAAGCTCCATGGATCCATTTATTCTGACATGTTGCAACAATGAAACTAATTCTGATGGACATGAATTGTAGGATGCAAAGGGACTGTCAGACATTTTCTGCAAGCCAAATGAAAATAATTCTCACATTCACATGTACCTGTACATGTAAAAAAATTCTCATCCTTTAGTTTTGAAAAAGAGGAGGGATCAAAAATTCTTGTGTCTTGTTTGATATTTTTTCAAGATGACCGTCACATATCCATACTACTGTACTGTATTGTCTGTATTATACAGAGATTTGTTTTTTTCTCTAGAACTCATGAACAGTCAAAATAACAATAAGGGGGGGGGGGGGAGACGACTGGAACTGGAAGAAATGAGAGTTGGAGCAAATAACAAATCACATCAAATGATTTTCTCTCATCTACAAGTATTGACAAAATAAACATACAAATAAACGGGAACAGAAAGTGTAGGCATACACATACTGTACATGTATACATGTAGGCCTGTATGTAAATGAAGATTGCAGGCACACATGTGTTCGTTTTAATTGATTGTCGATCCCTATTCTCGTCATACACTCAATGGCTAACAAATCATGTTGTATGTTTTTCAGCCAAATACATTCATCCCCTTTCCTTTCTCCCAAAATAGCCCTGTCTGCCTTCTCAGGAAGGGCCAATTTACTTGATGCTGGTGGACAATCTACAGCTTTGACGTGAACATGAACTGTTTAACAAGTTCAGACCCACACAAACTGTACATGTACAATGTACATGCTGTAATGTCTGCAGTGTACCAGTAATATTCACGGCATACATGTACAGTATGGTAGTGCACAACAGGTTAAACAAATACCGGTATGGTTCATTAAAAAAGGTGGTATTCCATTTCCACAAGCAGATTTTCAAAAGATAGAAATAGGTTATACCGGTAGACTATTTCCCAACAGTTAAAACAAGAAATTCAGGTTTTGAGCTGCAGTCTTTGCACATACTGTACAATGTACTTGTACATGTATGCACTAGATCTAGACACTGATGTAATTTCGACATTTACAGAACTTAAATTGCCCGCTTTTCTGATTTTGTTGTTTGTGCTTTTGTTTGTGACTTTGAAACTTAGTTAAATTGGGTCTTTGTCTAGTTATGTGATAGTACCCTCTTTTAAATTGGGCCATGCTCTATACGTTTACATGAATACATGAACTTGAAGTTACCTGCAAATTTTTCACAGACTTTATTACTGCGCGACTCTAATGTGAACCAAAATGACAAAAGACGTACATGTATTCGCTTTATATGTAATCACTTCATTTACATTAAATCATGATAATTCTGTTTTGGTATCATTTTACTTTTACATGTACATGTACATGTAGTAAACTAGTATCTTCAGTTCTCATGAGGTTCATGATACTGAATAGTGTAGGCTATGATCTGCTAGCAAGGGCAGCAAGAACATAAAGTGTGGTACAAAAAATGAATATGTATTCATCTCTTATATAGCACACATCACATTGCATGTACAGGGGGTGTATGATATGTTTTGCTACCAAATGTCAATGTTCACACAATAATCTTAATAGGTCTATTTACACATGTACATGTATGTGAGTTATACTAGTATCGGATGAGGGATCCAAGCTTGAAGTACTCTCCAGGATAGCCCAGACCACAGCTGCAGTGACCAAACTAAAAGTCATCTGGACAGACAAAAACATCGCCATCAGCTGGTTGTAAAATCTACAGTGGTGCCCCAACGGTCAGCCAGACTACCGGACAGATGAGATGAGATGAGTACCCATCATCTGTGTTTAACAAACATCTAAATACATGTACATGTATCTCCTAAATTATGTTATTGTCATTTTGCTGTAAGTTGAAATTAATCAGGAGGAAGAAATGAGAGAGCAGCAAAGCAAACAAGTTTTTTTTCTTGTGAATGACAATAATGGAAAAGAATAAGGACATACTGTAATGGTCTAGAACTTTACAGCGAGTGCTACACGTAACCAGTTTGTAATAAATGCATGAAAACAAATTACACTGTAAGCAAGTGAACGCTGTCTTTTTAATGTCCCTTTTCTTTTATTTCTAGATCTTGTAAAATGTAAGGCAGGACTAATGATCTATGAATCATCAGCAACTTGGTGAAAGAAAGAAAAGGTTGTTTAAAATGGCTTTGATCATGCAGCACAGTACATAAGTACACAGCAATAAAAAAAAAAATATATAAAAAAATTAGACATTACACGTATGCTAGGAGGAAAAAGAACGGAATAATGATATAAATGAACATTACATGAGTAAAGGGTCACTAGTGAGCCCACTTGTTTTGAAAAAAGAGGATAATTTCACATTAATAACTTGCTCTTGGGATTGGTTTCTGCTCTTATAAGCCATTCCAAGGGTAAGTAGATTGAACAAAAAGTTACATTTTACAAACTACAAAAATTAGATTCTAATTACAAGAAGAAGAAAACATAATAATAATATCAAAATACTACTACTACTAATACTACTAGTACTAAGAATAAGAAGAGAGGGAGGAGGATGAAGAGGAAGAAGAAGATGATGATGATCAAGAAGGACAATAGCATACCGTACCAACGGTGGGGCGCACACATAATCACGCGCGTGTGTTCAGTTAGCGACCGTAAACTAAGATTTCAGTCGCTAACTTAAAGGGAGTGTATCATGACGAGACTATGTGTCTTTCCCACGGCCCTACTCGGGGCCAATCGGGTATAATACGACTACGAACGACACGACCGCAGCATTCACTTGTGTGCCACATACGCAAAACCGAAGCGTGAGAAGAACTTTGGTCTGTTTCGCAAACTCTAGCTCACGCTGACCCAGTTAATCAAGTCCATTCGTTAATGTGCAGTTGTCAAAAAGTAAACGTAGATGGCCTTAACCAATATTTCCCATGATACACTCCCTTTAACACACGCGCACACCCGACCGTCGGGACGGTATGTAATTGTATTGTGCTTCAGTTTGCTGTGAATCCTGTGAGAAAGTGCATATTATAATTCTTCAATTATAGGAAAAATACTCTAAAAAATATAAGAAAATTGACACGAAACAGGTAACAAACATATCGACTTTTAAATCATAACCTTTATTTGGACATTTTGGGTAGTCTATGTTTAGTAAGGTATTTCCACGCCGGAGATACGGGTCAAATTTTGGATAGACTTCTGAACTAGGCAGCAGGCTAGCACCAAAAATTGGGCAAATAATAGCCTAAAATTCCTTTGCTACGATTTTATGAATGGATATGAAATTGGTAAAAAAATGGATACGAAAGTACACTACTCAGTAGACTAGATCTACTCACTAGTCTAGCGGCTATGTTTCTCATCTTTGTTGATCTTACTTTTTTCTTAGATCTTATTTTATCTTACTTCATATGGGAGAAAGTGTAATAAAGAGGGGCAATCAAACTAGTGTAGCCTGCTTACATTACTAGAGCCGAGGCCGATGCTTAGTTAGAAGAGCTCAGACTGAGGCTGGCTTTAGTACAGGCCGCGGGTAGGCCTATACGGTATGGACAGTTGCAGTGGCCCAAGTCAGCCGACTCTCACACTCACCATTGGCATTGCTCACAGTTTGATTACATTAATCACACTAAAACATAAAAATGCGAGAAGACTTACCACAAAAACTATGGGTAAATCACGGAATAATATCCCAGAAGAATGTCTCCCGGCCGCAGCACTCTTTCTCTCTTGCTTTGTTATAAAAATAACAAATGATTTAAAAGGAACAATACACGTCTGGAGTTTCTGCTCCACACCCATTCATTTCTTCACACACAATTAATTTCATTGATACAACAGCGATCTACGTACGTGCGCACGCGAACATAGCGCAGCCCCGCGATGCAATGCTAATGCAATGCACTTCGCTGTGTGTTCTGCGTATAGCTGTGTGCATGAATTAGCATCTTCCTGCTGTAAACAAATATATTAGTAGCTTTTTAGAAGGCTTTTTGTATTGAATTTTCCAGTACGACAAGAGATGGTAACATGGCCTGTATAGGCTGTACTGCGACTAAAAGAAAAGGAAAGATCTACAGGGTGATAAGGGGTCGCACCCCTTTCTTGATGGAACGATCAGAGAAAAAAATAAAACATTAACATACATATCAGGGTTAAAAAATCTTTAGCAAGAAATTTAATTTTGATTATAACTATATTATATATATTTCAGTCGGACTATTTACCAGGAGCGAATCCATCAATGTCCCGGAATGGGGGAGGGCAATTTTCTTGTATTATCCCACGATCATATTTTGAAGGAAGTCTCCAATATGGGGAATTGGGGGGAATTGAGAGAGAAAGATATACCTAACAATGTTATTCGATAGCAACTAGTAACACTAACAGGCCTCCCTTCACCTCACCCCCACCTTTTTTCTCCCTCCTCTCTCTCTCTCTCTCTCTCTCTCTCTCTCGTTCTCTTTCTCTCACTCTTCAGGTTTCAGGTTTATTAGTTTCATAAGTTTCACATAAATTTCACATTCAATGATTTCACAAAAGAAATGCCACAAATTCAACATGAATTCTATTGACAGTGACAAAAACTTCATTATTTCTACATGTGCCTTGAGCACTCCACAAAGTGGATTTGGCGCTATATAAGTTACATTTATCATCATTATTAACATCAGAAAACAACAATTGAATGCACGTTAAATTAACGAGATTGAAATATTAGAAATCGTTTTCTCTCTCTCTGCCTCTCTTCTTCTTCTTTTTTTTTTTTGGGGGGGAGGGGGTAGCCATCATTATATACCCCTCATTCAGTTACTCCTGGCATCCAAACAATTTACGAAAAGCCGGCTTAGCACAGAAAATCAACTTAGGCCTAAAAAAAGATGTTATATATTGCCCTTTAGGTGCCGAAACATAGGTCGGTCGGTCGGAACTCTTTTTTTAAAACTCCCTCTTTGGGCTGATATTTCTCAGTTTTGAATGCTTTAATACATTTTTTTTCTTCAAAAAAATGTAAAATAAATAAAATTTATTTTAAAAGCTGACCGTTGCAAAGCCAAAGGGCAATACAACAAATTTTGTTTTGTTAAGGCATTATCCTCTTTATAAACTAAGGTGGATGAAGACAAACGAGACTAAAATATCCTGTACGAATGAGCCCTATTTATAGCAACTTAAAATCTTATAAGAGTTTAGGCCTAGAATCTAAGTGAATTTAAAAAAAAAAAAAATTTATTTATATGTTTTATTGATCATTCTGAATTTTCATTTCCATTACCACTTATATGAATGAAGCAAATTCAGTATAATCAAGAATAAGTTCGGCCTTAGAAGTGAAAAGTTAATGTTTGAAGGCTTTGAATATAGTTTGCAGTGTCGATGTATATTATATCGTATATGTATAATATATTTATGTTAATATATTTCTTCTTGAATTAAGACTAATACTGTAAATAAAACAAATAGTCACTCTCAGTAGATACCATTCTTCGTAGGGGTAACAAATATCACAATACCGACTTGGAGTTGAGTAGTTAATAAAAAACACATTTATATGGATATTAAATTATCAAGTATCATTAGAAAATTACAATAATATTAACATTAACGAAACATTTGTACAACAAATTGATTGGAATTCTGCAAAGTTGTATTTGCATCCTCTAGAAAAGTACCTAGCATTTACGCTCGAGTACCCGCGCGCGCACGCCACTGAGCTCATTATGAGCTCACAGGAAACCAACGTACACGTGCTTTATGTGTAACCGTTTGTTTACATTTTCAACAATAGGCTGCTGACATTCACAAGGTATTAAATGACAATGTATCCTAGATAATGGAAGGATTAAAGACTGTCTTTACAAGACTTTAGTGAAGCTAACAAACACTGAACAGCTGTTCCAAGCTAATTGACAAGTTGTGACTCGGGTGCTGCTTATCCCCTGAGCTGAGCTGAGCTGGTCGGGTAAATATTCAGCCTGGACTCGACCCCTGGCCCTCGGCCTGCCATTGCATGGTGCTGGCGAGGACACACGGCAGTATACGAGTGATTTGTATTTGTGGTAAGTACGGCGCTAGCGCTGACCATTCTTATTCTTACACCTAACTTACTTAACGTATTCATGTGGAACCAAACTGGCTTTAAAAAGTAAAGTTTATTCAAATGAGAAAATGTTAAATGGCAGAAATAGGGCACAGCTACATCAGTAGAGTCTAGTTTGATTAGACCGAAAACTTCAGTCTCTCTAATCGTCGGTTGTTCCACTGAGACTACGTCTGGCTCCACTAGACCTCCGATTATAGATTTTATAGATTATGTATTTGGGAATGTCAACAAATGTCAGTTTTATAAAAGAAATGACCAAATCAGACGGTTATTTCTGTCTATAGTTTGATATAAATGTTATTGAGCAAAATCTGATGATGAGAACTGTAATGATATGAGTCAATGTATCTTGAAGTCAACAGTGAAATAGCGCCACCTTGTGGTAGACTTGTAACAGTGAAAATAAATGAAGAGCTTTGATAGCCCTCTCTTATAGCACATAACCATGTTGTAACTATTGTCATTTTATGCCTCCTAACTATAACTAGTATGTAACTCCTGTATTAAGGATATGATACTTACATGGTGACAGAAGTGGTTGATAATATGATATCTGTTGTTTGATGTAGTAGGAAGCAACATTTTGATGAAGATGAATGCATAAATTTGTTGTGAATATGTATGCATAAATTCGTGGTACGGGTGCACTGGTAGTCAGTTGTACATTGTAGTCCCAAGTGTAGCATATAGTGTTGGATTATGGCACAGGGTATTCCACTGCCGAGGCTGTCCGTAGAAGGAGACCTCAAGTCCAATTGGTCGAAATTCAGCCAATTATGGGATAGTTATGAATTGGTGACTGGTCTTACAGAGAGAGATGAGAAAATACGAGTGGCCACATTTGTAATGGCCATTGGGTCAGATGCCTTAGATATTCATAATAACCTTCCATATGAGTCGGATGCTGACAGACAGAAGATGTCAGTAGTCTTAGATCTTTGGGGCAGGCATTGTACAGGGGCTACCAATGTTATCTATGAGAGATTTAAATTCAACAACTGTACTCAAGGGTCAGATTCATTTGATGCTTTTGTTGTTAGACTACGCGCGTTGGCCAAGTCATGTGATTTTGGGCAATTGAGAGACAGCCTGATCAGAGATAGGCTGGTGTGTGGAGTTGCCGACAACACTCTCCAAAAAAGGCTACTCCAAGAAAGTAACCTCACACTCGAGGCAGGCATCAAAATTGGCCACGCGTTCTACGCAACAAAGCAACACATGAAGGACATGACCAAGAGTGATGAAAGTGTTTCATTTCTGAGAAACAAAGAAAGCACTTATAGAGATAAAGAGCCTAAGGTCATTAAAAACTGTAAATACTGTGGTGGTTCTCATGAAGTCCGAAAATGCCCAGCTTATGGAAAAAAGTGTAATAAATGTGGCAATATGAATCACTTTGCCAAGGTCTGTATGAAAGAGACACAGTTCAGAAACAAAATCAGACTAGTCCAAGATGATGGTGAAGAGGTGTTGGCCCTAAATGCAATTGGTGATAATAGTACCTACAAAGACAAAGTGATGGCTGCATTTTTAATACGAGGAAACAAAATTTCAATGCAGGTGGATAGCGGGGCCACGTGCAATGTTATACCAAAGAGACATGTCCCTGACAATGTTGAGATTAACTATGGTACACGAAGACTCTCATTGTATGGTAATAAGGCCACAGTAGATGGGATAGGTGTATGTAACATTGTTCTGAAGAACCCAAAGAACCATAGAAAGTATGACGTAAAGTTTGTGGTCGTTCATGAGGATTGCACGCCCTTGATAGGTGCTAGGATGTCCCAGATAATGAAAATCCTAAAAGTACAACACAAAAACTTTGTGGTGGGATCAGTGTCAGATGGTTGCACAATTGTAGGCAAAGCTTTAAGCAAAGTAGATGTGATAAATGCGTACCCTAAAGTCTTCAAGGGACGTGGGAAGATGCCTGGGAAGGTACATCTTCAGGTGGATCCGGCTGTAGAGCCTGTTGTAATGCCTCCAAGGCGTGTGCCTTTGGCAGTCAAAGAAAAGTTGAAATCAGAATTGACCAGACTAGAGGGGTTGGGATACATCGAGAAGGTTGTAGAACCAACAGAATGGGTCTCGGGTTTGGTAACAGTGCAGAAGCCTAATGGGAATATCAGAGTATGTATAGATCCCTTATACTTAAATAAGGCCTTGAAAAGGGGACATTACCCTCTCCCTGTGATTGAAGATGTACTACCACACATGTCCAAAGCTCAAGTCTTCACTAAAGCAGACTGTAAAGAAGGCTTTTTGCAAATAGAACTTGATGATGAATCAACTCGTTTGACAACGTTCCAGACCCCGTGGGGCAGATACAAGTGGAATAGGATGCCCTTTGGAATCTCCCCAGCGCCGGAGATATTCCAACAACAATTGGACTGTAACTTGGAAGGGTTGGAAGGTGTGTTCAAGATCGCAGATGACATCATCATAACAGGACATGGAGCCGACATGGCTGAAGCGAACGACAACCACGATGAGAACTTGAAAGCATTTCTCGACAGATGTTCTGAGCGAGGAATCCGCCTTAACGAGGAGAAGTTTGACTACAAGTCTGAACAGATCAAGTTCATGGGACACGTTCTGAGTAAGGATGGACTGAAAATTGATCCTAAGAAAGTGGAAGCTATAAAGAATATGCCGCGTCCAGATTCAGTTGAAGCGATACAACGATTTGTAGGAATGGTGAAGTACCTCGGGAAGTTCCTGCCGCGACTATCGGACATTAGCGAACCACTCAGACGCCTTACACACAAAGGTGCAGAATTCCTGTGGGGACAGGAACAAGAAGTAACGTTCCAAGAAATCAAAGATCTGGTCAGCCGCGCCCCGGTTTTGCGATATTTCGATGAGAAGTGTCCCACCGAGGGGCAAGGTGATGCATCCCAATACGGACTCGGGTATGCATTACTACAAGATGGACAACCGGTGTCCTATGCGAGTCGAGCTCTCACACCAGCGGAAACCCGTTACTCGCAAATTGAGAAAGAATTGTTAGCACAAGTATTCGGACTAGAGCGACATCATGACTACGTTTATGGTCGGAAGGTGACTTTGTTGACGGATCACAAGCCTCTTGTCGACATTTTGAGCAAACCTCTTGCAACAGCTCCTAAACGCCTTCAGAGACTAATGATAAGACTGAGTCAGTATGATGTTGAAATCAAGTACATACCAGGTACAGAGATGTACCTTGCTGATACACTATCGCGAGCGTTCCTGGAGAACGGTGACAGATCAGGCATTGAAGAAGAGGTCGAGCGTATTCACCTTATTGATGCTATTCCAGTATCTCAGAATTCGCAACAAGAGATCCGCGAATCTACCGCGCGCGATACAGCCCTGAACGCAGTGATGGAGTATATTGCGTCAGGATGGCCGAGCACTAGCCAGACTTGTACGCCGGAGGCAAGACCGTTCTTCAGCATTCGTCACGAACTAACAAGCGATAACGGTATCGTGTTCAAAGGACTGAGATGTGTCATCCCCGCGGACATGAGAGTCGAAATTCGCAAAAAACTACACGCTAGTCACACAGGCCTCGAGAGCACACTACAAAGAGCAAGGGAGTGTGTCTATTGGCCGAATATGACATCCGACATGAAGGACTACTTGTCGCGGTGTGAAGCATGCAACATATATGCTTCATCACAAAGGAAGGAAACTCTCATACACCATGAACTACCAACGCGTCCTTGGCAGAAAATCGGATGTGACATTTTCTCGCTAGATGGCCGTGACTATCTTTGCACAGTGGACTATTTTTCCGATTACTGGGAGATAGACAACTTGACCGGGAAAAAGGATGCGCCAGCTGTGATCACTCGATTGAAGAGACATTTCGCGAATCACGGCATCCCGGAAACGTTCCAATCCGACAATGGACCCCCGTTCAATTCGCATGATTTTAATCAATTCGCGAGTGTATACGGTTTCGAGCATACTACAAGTTCGCCAGAATATCCGCAAAGTAACGGAAAAGCGGAAAATGCGGTGAAAATCGCAAAGCAGCTTCTGAAAAAGACTAAGAAAGGAGAGGAGGACTTCTACATGAGCCTTCTTGTGTGGAGAAACACACCAACTGTTGGCTTGAACAGTTCACCTGCTCAACGTCTATTCGGTCGCAGACTTCGAAACAATCTGCCGATAGCTAGCGTTCTACTTAAACCGAAGCTACAAACAGACACTAATCAACGAAAAGAAAAGAATCGCGAAAAGCAGGCACATTACTACAATCGCGGTGCCAAAGATCTGCCAGAACTTAAAGTCGGAGATACTGTAAGGGTTAAGCCAAAAAAGCATGCCAGGGCCTGGGAAAGTGCCATCGTTCTCGAGAAAGTTGGTATTCGGTCATACTCCATCCGAACTGAGCGCGGAGCAGAGATTCGAAGAAACCGCCGACATCTTCGAAAATCAAATGAACAGTTTGATGATAATACTGACTTGGCTGTGGATCAAGAACCCTCTGCAACGGACAATCCTCAAAACACACCTCCAACCCCTACCGAGTCACCACCAAACATGACATCGAGTAGTGACAACTCCGGGCAGAGCTCAGAACAATTCCGCAGAAGTCAGCGGCAGACTAAACAGCCAGCATACCTACAAGATTACAAACTCAACTGAACTCATGAATAATAAAAACAATAAACAGTTAGTAAGTAAGAATCAAGCAAGTATAATTGCGGTGTTACTGTTTATACTAAGTTTTAAATATATGCTTGTTGAAGTTAGAAGTTTACACCTCAGTGATAATTGGATCACTAATTGTTATGTATACCTCGGTGATAATTGGATCACTTATTATCATTATATCAAAAATGTGTGAGCTGATTGTTATGGAATACACACATGCATATTTACAATACAAAGGTCAGGGTTTGAAAGCTTATGTAACATTCTCAAACGTTTTAGTACGGTTTAATTCGGAACAACATGGTTTGCGTTATTGTAGTACATATAAGGACATGCTTCTTTAAAGAAGGAAAGGTGTAATGATATGAGTCAATGTATCTTGAAGTCAACAGTGAAATAGCGCCACCTTGTGGTAGACTTGTAACAGTGAAAATACATCTAGTAAATGAAGAGCTTTGATAGCCCTCTCTTATAGCACATAACCATGTTGTAACTATTGTCATTTTATGCCTCCTAACTATAACTAGTATGTAACTCCTGTATTAAGGATATGATACTTACAAGAACATCACAAGATTCAAGAATGGAATCCAGAAATATAAGTATTACCAACACTTCTTTAAAATGTATTTTTCTTCTCTTTGTTCTGTGTTTTTGGTTGTTCTGAAGGCCAGTGACCAGATAGATCTTTCATGATACATGTGGTAGAAACAAGTATTGAAATACTTGATTTTCTTTCTAAAATCTCAAACTATCACAGAAAGTGAGAAGACTGATAATTATTTAATGAAGTTTCCATCCACTTGCTGTACTTTTGGGGAGCTTCGACTAAAGCCAAAAGGGGTATTTGGAAACATGTCATCTTATAACTGTGCGTCTGACACAAGTAATTTGCTTTAAATACTAATTCCTTTCAACTTTCCATTGTCATAAACTACCTCTCATTTGCAGACAGGAATAGAAAAATACTTCCACCATGTCAAAGGATTGGGGTGAGATGGAAGTTCTGCCATTGTCAGAGGCTGATGGACGCGTGGATTCCACTTTTCATGTTGATGCCGTCTTTGATTTCTTGGAATTCAACAAACAGTATCGAATCAAGAGGGAGATCATCATGCAACTTACAGCTATTCATAGCAGAATAAAAGCGGTAAGCTCAAAATGTCAAAGAATATTTGGAACAACTTAAGAATGCTCAACCGCAAAGTCGACCAAATGTCAATTGGATGACAATTGCTGCACCAAAGACTTAAGTTTTCGATGGCTAATTCTAACTCTAATTCTAAGACCGAAAGCTTCAGTCTCTGATATCGACGGTTGTTCTACTGAGATTACATCTGGCTCCTCTGACGGTCTGACCGCCTCTATGTTGACAAATGTCAGTTTTATTAAATGACCCATACCAGACAGTTATTTCTGTCTATCCCTACCCCTAAACCTAAGCCTAATCCTAATCCGAAACTTTACCTGAAGCCTTATCCTATGCTCCTATCGTCTATGTACAAGCACTCTATCGGTGAGGTACAGTGTATGCTAAAGTTTAGCTAAATATTTGGCAAAGAACAAAAAACAGAGATATATGCATATCTGGAATGCTGATATTGGCATCATTTCAGTTTTATGTGGGAGAAATCCTAGAAGAAGTTGATTTAAGAAGTTTTGTTTTTATATCACAATAATGATAGAAGTGAAAATATATCTTACTATGACAAAGTACCTTTAATACATGTACATATACATATATACTTTTATTGTGCATTATATGCTTGTCTAGTCCAGATAAAGTTGGAATTACATAATTTGTTACAAGGATTTTTAGTGCTATATCAAAAGGATAACCAATTGTCATTGCCTAACTACAGCCTGGTATATACAGTTCAATGTCAGTTTGGACAGAAGCATTACTGTTCTATTCTAAATAATTACAACAAGTCATTAATATGATCATTATTGATTATTAGATCATATTTATTCTAATGTATTTTGATATCTTTTTGTATAGGCCTTGAGACACTTTGGAGTGAGTGGGGACCTTGAGCTGACAGAGGAAGAGGTGAGTTTAGGAAGATATATTTTGTCAATTAATAACAAGATTATATACAGCAACCATATTCAGTCTAACTTGACTGTGACCAAAAAACGTCCAATCAGCTTGTAGTTGACGTTAAATGTCACTTGGTCTGATTAATGACACTGGTGTGTTGGCGCGTTGCTTGGACTGAATGGCTTGAAAAAGAAAAAAAAAACTTGACTATTTGTATTACCTAGATAAGTAAGATATTGTTTACATTTCCATGTTGAAAGGTAAACACGGTTGGATTTATAGGAGAAATATAGATGATGCATGAATGCTTAAGTTAAGTTGATAACTAACTCGAGTTGTATTTCCTATTATTTTCTAATTCTGTACCTTTCCTCATCTTACAAAGCATATAAATTCTCAATATACACTACACAGATATCATTTATTATTATTATCATTTTTTATTCAAAATAAGTACCAATAGAAAGTTGAGGAAAAGAATTGTGATAGAACAATTGGTAAGTGCTATTATGAGTTTTTTTGTGTGTTGTATATGTACCGGAAGTTCTTTTTTAACTGACCTGCTCTTCTCATGGATTAAAAAAATGTCTTCTTTTTTTCCATTTGGAGCGTCATGCTCTCTCTTATGTTACTTTATATCCCCTTTTTCATAGATCCTTGAGGAAGAGAGAAGGAGGAGGAGGCCACCTGGCTTCCTAACAAACAAAATGAAAAAAGATGTAAGATCCATTTGCTTCATTTCAATTTGATATGATTTGAAATCAATATTCCAATGATTTTTACGTAAATATAAACTTACATTTGGATAAAAGAATACAAAAAAAAAAGTTGTTTATTATCTCTTGAATTTTGATGATGCTGTTCAAAAGGCCATTTTCGTAATGTAATCAAATTTAATGCACAAATCTTTGTTAAGTGTGTCTTTACGAATTATTTAATTCACCTGTTACAAGTCATTGTATTTCAAAAGTCAGGTATGACAAACATGGCTTGTCCTACCTAACAACACCTAAGGTATGCAGTTTGCATTCTGACTACTGGTATTGAAATACAATTATTTGTAACGAGGCATCTAAGAAACTTTTGTGTAATAGATTTTGTTACTTTACAAAAATTTGTGTGATGTTTTGTAGAATTTTTTTGCAGACAGGTGTGTTGGCTCAGTCAGTAGAGCGTCCGCCTCACAACCAGGAGGTCGTGGGTTCGAACTCCGGCCGCGTCATACCAAAAGACGTTAAAAGACGGGAGTTGCTGCTGCCTTATTTGGCATTCAACGATGAGGGAAAGAGCAACGTCGATCTGGTGCTGCTCAGTGGCTGCCGGGCTCACAATCAATTGGGCAAAAAGAATTTCCATTTTTTGGTTTAACTTAATAAAATTTAGAGTGTACTTTAAAAGATTATTATTATTATTATTATTATTATATTCAGGAGCAAGTAAGTCAGAAAGTTAAAAGTAATCCTAGGGGTGTCTTGTTATTTGATATATTTTTCAACATGTTTTTGTGTGTTTGTAGATGCTGCATAAGCAGATGGTCTTGGATACGATTCATGAGTTTGGACAGAATTGCGTATCATGCGAAAGGGTAAGAATACTCATATAAGTTCTGTTTAGAAAATGTACCAATATTCCCAGGAAAGTGACCGATCTTCAGAAAGATCATCTTCCATTGAATTTAGTTTCTAAATCCAGAGTATACCAAATAATCTTTTTATTGCTACTGTCTCTCTCATTTAAAGCCTACTCATTAGTCCCACATAGGACCAATTTTGTTTGATGAGAAAACTAGAGACACGTTTACCCATTTTCACGAATGAACCACCACTACATGTGTAGAAAATTCACTACACAAATAAATAAAGAAAAACTCACCTTTTTTCCAGCATTATAAATTGCTGAAGTCAATATTTTACAAAAATATCTGTCATCAATCTAAAAATAAAGTTTAAATCTGACAGTTACTTTATTAAATAATCATTTTCATACACTGTACAACTGTGATCCAATGCTGTCGAGTCTCTTCTCTTGTCGTCATGAAAACCGTTGCTACGGTAACAACTTTCCCAAGAAAGTCCTTGTTCTGAGATCCAAGACAAGCAGAGCATTTGCAATGTTTTCCCGAGCTGAGCGCAAATGCCTGACAGTTGCCGTTGTCTGTTTCTACATGTACATACAAGATAATATTGAGAACAATTTTAGCAGTGGGGACGATTTAGCAAATCATGGAAATTTAACATTATTTGAAGGAGGGGGGAGAGAAAATAAATTACTGAATTAAAAGGTATAACGTATCTAGGCTCCTCGCTAATAGGTATATTATTTAATCTCGTTTCACAAAAGGATTTTGAATTCTCATGTCATTTTTGCGACTACAGCAATGAATGAGCAGTTGGAAAATCAATATTTTGATCACATTTTTATTAAGTCGTAAAATTTGGTAGTGATGTATGCTGGTCTTACGTGGCAAAATTCTGCTTACTATTATTATTTTGATGATATTTTTTCTGTTTCAGAATATGGAGGAAGTGAACGATTGGCTGTTTGATGTTCAAACTACTCTGGTAAGTGAATGCTGTTCTATTCCTCTGAAGGAGTTCTTCCTTCAGAATCTCCAACTTTTTTCGACTTTAATTCAAATTGAAATAAATTTGAGACTTGTACAAATCCCAAAGAAATTTTGAATTATAATATTTAATCTAATCTCATACAAAACACTTCACTCAATTTTTAATTTTGTGTTTCTTATTTCTGTACTGACTATGAACAAGACTACAGAAGGATAATTGTCTCATCCTTTACTGTCATCACGGGTCAAGATGTGATATTCAATATATATGACATCATGGTTTTAATTTTGGCAGATAATCTTAATTACAACACTTTTAAGTGCTTTTGAAGGCTATATTATTCGATAAAAAAGTGGTACAGTGAAACCTGTCTATAAAGACCACCCAAGGGAGGCAAGAAAAGTTGTCTTTATAGGCAGGTGGTCTTTATGTACAGGTTCCTTTGGTACATGTTTCAATGAGAAACCATTTTCAAGGGAAACAAGAAAGGTGGTCTTTATAGACAAGTGGTCTTTCTATACAGGTGGACACTTAGGCAGGTTTGACTGTATGAGCAAGTAACAGGTAAAGAATTATGTAATAATCAAGTGATTGATTGATTTGATTATTTTATTAAACCTGTAGGAGAGCAATTTGGTCACAGAGGATGTATTAAAGGAGGCCGAGACTGAAATCATTCAACTAAACCAGGATTGTAGGTAAGATAATTCAACATTAAGTGACACTGTTTTGACCCTGTAAGGTGATGTTTCTTTAATGATTTTGTTCAGGTTTTATAGTCCCATTTTATAATTTTAGATAGTGATTAATATATTTTGTAAGATACATGTAAATTTATAAAGATTTTGAAGCTACTTTTCTTGGTTGATATATACTGTAGTTGTTAGGTACCTATTCAGATGTTCACAACACATAGTTACTTTCTGCAGTTATGTTTAAACATATTTTATGTTGAGATTTATCCTTGTGATTTTTATTGCCAAATTTTGTAGTCAGATATGGGCTGATGGAAATAAATACAAGAAACGGTACAAAGACAAACTGAGGCGACTTGGGAAAGAAATCTTTGAACTACTCTCTGAGATGCTCAAGGACCATAGTCAAGAGTAAGTTCACTCTTAACTTAACTTACATAAATTTTAACAATTTTATGAGTGATATTCGTGTTGATTTGTAAACAATTTATAGCCTCCAAAGTATAGGCTCATGTCTCAAATTACCCAGAGATCATGCAAATTTACAATGATGCCTTATCACTGGCTACAACCCCCCCCCCCCTCAAATAGACATAGCATACAGCTATTTTAGGTGTGTCCTAGTGCTACCATATAATGTGTTTAAAGGCTATTATGCCTCTAATAAGTCAAAGATTCCTGCCCCTACAATTGATATCACTCTGACTCCATGCCTCTTGTCTTAGGTGATGGCGAAAAGTATAAGAATTTTTATCATGAAGTTTTATTTATATACATACCGTCACAGAACTTAAGCAGCTTACTTTCATACAACCCACCTGTTATGGAATGTTACCTTGTTGTAGGTATAGGTATACTATCAAAGGGATTCAAGAAAGAAATTCCTCTTTATGAAATTTGTCCACTGTATATGAGATAGTGCTTCAGATACTTTGACTCTTTGACGTAAAACTCTTGGTCATATCCTTTATTTGCAGAATGAGTGATGACGAGAGTGAGCGCAGTAGCCATCATGTCAGTCATGCGATCGATAAGCTTGCTCTTCTTAAACCAAAAGTAGAACGGACAGAGCATCTCATCTCAGGTTTATATCATGATTGTCTATATCTGTTTTTCTCACACTCCTACTCCACCCCCTTATTTATCTATCTCTCATATCCTGTCTTTCCTTTATTTTTTTCTTCCTTTTCTCTCATTCTCATATTGATTTTGAAAATACGCTACAGAAATTAATTTTTTTGACCTTTGAATAAAAATATTAGTATTCCGCTCTTTGCTACTGTATAGGAGGAGGCATATTCTGTTTTTATAGTAGATTTCAAAATATACCATTTTCTGTGTATTTTTAATGGTTAATGCATTTCTTGTGATATGATGATTTTGATGATTTATTTTGCCCGACTGCTATGATATGCTTGTAGATAAGCAGCCAATAGTCCTATGGCTTTAAAAATATGTGAGTGACTTGATACTGGGGAATTATATGTATCAAAGGGTATTTGCGAATTGGCTTGGTTTTGAACCCTTGGACATCCTATTTAGGAGATCACTTTCAATTCTCATATGATATCTTGTAAGTCTTACTTTCTAGTTTTACCTTCCTAGCTTCATTCCATCATCCTTAACATCTGTCCTTTCTGCAATGTCTTTCTTTTCAGATGAGCAGACTCTCAAGGAGATTGCAAATTGGCAGAGTGCTGCCAAGGATGTAGAGAACTCAATAGAAATAGCATGCAGGATAGCTAGGACTAGTAATGATCGTACAGGTATCAAATATCTTTACTCAGTTGTGTAACTAATTCCTACAGGGGTGGAGCCGTTGCTTCTAGGCTGTGTCTGCATAGCATGGTAGGGGTAATAAGCCCAATGTTGTGTAAAAGGTGTGGCCATCTTTTGTTCCACATAATCTCTTCCTATTCTCTCAAACCTTATTTTGAACCCTTAGAAAAAGTGGTAGGAAATTTTGCTTGTTTTATTCTCAAAAGAATATGACACCCAGCAACATTCTTTGTTTGTTATGGAACTGGGTGAACCATTGCCTTTGGGAGCGAAGCTGTTAATGTATGTAGCCTGGATGATTGGAGTATCTAGTAAAGTCAATGGCTTAACCCTATACACTGTATATCCAGGGCTATTTTGAAACTTTGCATTTCTGCTTTAACAAAATACACAAACTCTCTTCACAGCCATGAAAAATGCTTTGAAGAAGTTCAACTTTATGATGCTAGCCATGGAGAGGAGAAACGAAGAAAACAGCCATCTTGGTCAAGAGATCTTAGAATGTGAGGTAAGTAGGATCACACGTATTGAATACAATATTCCAGATGGCCATTTACATTTGAAGTCAAAGCCCTTGTGAAGAATTCATTTTGAAAGAGCAGTTGCTAATCCCAACCTGCACCCCTCCGCCCACTTCAAAATTTTTGTCAGCTGATCAGTTATCAAGTAATTCTATTACACATCTCGAAAAGGTATTTTTGTTTAAGCAAAGTCTAAGTCTCCCCGCTCAAAGTATCTGTTGTTTGTACTGTTTAAATCACAGAATTCTCCCCTGATTGTTATCCCCCCCCCCCCTCAAAGAAGAATTATTCCTTTGTAATTAGGGATAACATGATAACATTTATTTTTGCATTCATGTTGTTGATTTAAGTTGAGCTTTAGTGGGATGTTTAGAAAGTACAGTTATTTAGCCTAAGATTACAATGACCAATTTTATGTGAGAAGAAAAATAATGAGAAATTTTCAATCCTGTATATTTATTCCCACCTAGGTTAAGATCAACCATGTGTCAAGGTTGAATGAAAAAGTTGAGGTGGAGTTGAAGAAAAAAATCCAAAGACTGGAACAAGTTGAGAATGTTATCAAGAAGAACAACGAAAAGCTGGTAAGTTTGAATCAATGAAAATGTTGCTGAGTAGGAATCGTTATTTCTTTTGTCATTCTATAGTAAAAGTTATTGTATGCTAGATGAAAATATCAAGGAATTTGCCAGTTGAGCAAGCAATTGGAAGATTGTTAATGCAGTATTGAATACAGTGGGAATACCTCCATTATTGGTGTGATCATCACTTGAACTAGCTTATAATGTGTGTCAGGTGACTGCTTTATATCTTGGTCTGATTATATACCTAGATTGATGTTTTTTATTCATAACATTGGTGATTTTATTTTAGGATAAGCCAGCCCTGAGAAGTGCTGTTTCTTCTGAGTTTGAAATGGTTGAATTGCTTGAAATGCTTTTTACTTGGAATTTCCTGTGTTTGGTTGCTCTTTGTTTCCAGACTGATCTCAACAAAAAGATTAAAGAATCAAAGGTGGAGATATCCTCTCTCAAGACAAAGGTTGAATCACAGATCAACGAGGACTCACCAAAATATGTAGCCCAGTTCAACATACTTGAGAAAGAAAAGGGTGAGGATTTTTATGTCATCGTGTGGAATTAGGGATACCTGTCATATCATACTGTCTCCTCTCTGTCACTGTTAACCATACCACCATAGTGCCGATGGAGTCGTGGATGTGATGAAATTTATTTTTCTATTTTGCCCTGTAAGGAATAACCATGTAGCAATAGGTTGATGTATTCTCATTCAAAATCAAATTTTGCCTTTATTTTTATTTGTCCAGCCAGATAAAAATGTTCTACTTTACAAGATATAACATTCTTCTTTTGAAATATTAATACTGTGAGTGTATACTCCCTTTTGAAAATCTAAATTTTTCTGTTTTTCATTCCACTTCTGTCCTTATTTTTTATAAATGTACTTGAATTTATACAGAATATACTTAAATTATACTTGATTTTTACTTTATAAATCCAGAATGTTATCATTAGTACTACTTCAAACAATTATTCTGTGTTTTCCTTTCTGCTTAGTTGCTGCTCTTGCGAAGTCCAACGTACTAGAAGCAGTCATAGTAAAGATGGAGGAACAACACAAGAAGATGTTGAAAGATTTAGAAACAAAGTACAAAATGAAGCGGTAAGATGGAGGAGAGTTGGATGACTGACTTGAGAAATCAGATATTGATTTAATAACAAGATGATGAATAAATGAATGACTAATACCTTTTTCATAGTGACTCTATAAAAAAGCACTGATAGAATATGCCTTATGTAAACAAAGGTGAAACCAACGCTTGCCCGCATATGCCATTCATACTGCCGGAGAAATTCACTCGCTGGGCGAGCATCGGCCAGAAGTGAAATAGAAGGATAAATGGATAGTTGTAAGCATGAATAGACAGAAGAATATAATGAAATGTTGGGCTTAGGGAGTCATCAACATTCCATTATGAGTCAAGAAGTGTCCCAATAATCTCTTGTGCATGGCTTTGTCTCAGGATAAAATGTTGACATGTTTTTATTTCTCATGTTTATGCTACAGGACACAGTCATGAAGTTGGAGAAAGTTGTCAATAGCTTGGAGTCTGAATTGCGAGAGACGCTGCGTGAGTACTCATTTGTGTTTGACAATATTTCGAAGCAGAAGTAAGATTTGGAAAGCGAAATTGATGTTAAAGAAAATGTAGCAAAATTTCAGCTACATGTATGCTTTGATTAGATGTTTTTCATCAATTATCTTAATAATGAAATTGGTAATGATGGCGAATTATATAGCGCTCATGTCCACATCTTAATATTCCTGGCACTCGTATATTATTACCACATTTATAGCAAAAGTGGCCATATATGACTGTAGTTACTCATTTACCCCTGGATTGAGGTTTGCAAAAGGAGATTAACCAAAGGACCTTTTAAACCATTTAGCATGTGATGATCCCCAGTCCCATCAGTCACTAGACTACAATGCCCTCATATATTGTTTTATCAGAAACCCAAGAGGAGTATGCCCATGAGTTGGATCTCGCTGAGTATCAGAAGAAAGATGGGAAGAACCAGACAGAATCACTCAAAGAGCAGTACCAAACACAGATCAAGGATCTCAAGAAAGATGTAAGATGCCTTTCATGGAAGAACTTGATTTAATTTAATTTACTTTTGATTAAGGAACTTTACATATTAACTATCTTGATCTAAGGAGACACGAACGAACGAACGATGCTTTCGACCATTTGTCATGATGAATGTTGATGCTTACATCCCAATCATTTTAACAAAGAGGACAGACATGAGAGTTTGTTCTGTTTTTCCCCTCCCATGAAAATGTGACACCAAATACATTATAGGTATATTGATAGTAGTCATATTTGTATTACATTTCCCTGTTCACTATGTAAAGGTAATATTTGAATGATTGCTAATTTTTTAAAGGTCTTTAAGGATGGATGTCTCAAGCCAGTATATTCATGTGCATGTATATGTTTCCATGTTTAAAGGCTGCCCCTATTTTTCGCCCCTTTACCGGCTTTCACAGAATTAAAAAAAAGAGCATTGTAACTTTGTTGTAACTTTGAAAAGAGAACCTTCTTTTTAGGTGTAAAAACATTTTTTTTTTAATATGATTTAAAGACAGATGACCTTCACCGAGAGATTTCAACACAGAAAGCTGAATTAAATTCCAAAGAAGCAACAATAGAAGCACAGGTAGAATGTTATATTTATGTTATTTACCGTAAAACAAACTTAATTCACTCAACCTGTGACCTTTGACACCAATGGTTAGCCTTAAAAAGTACTTGTCCTTTATTAAACATCCTCCTTCAAATTAAGTGATCTCAAGTGAAACAAACCCAACCTATGAGCCAGAAAATGAAATGTATATCGATGTGTAGTTTCCAGTTGAAACAAATGATATTTCTGTGTGTTCTCTAGGTAATGTGTGACTTCAATTTAGCATGGGTTTAAAGGTAAAGACCAGTTATGGTCATGCGATTGCATTGTGAAAGAAACGTTGTGGAATCGATCAGAAAAGGTTGATCATCTAGCATCTAGCATCTGCAAGGTTCTGGAATCATCAAAATGATAAGAAATTCGGCCCATTCTTCGTAAAGTTACAAGCACTATACACAGATTGACGTATATGGGACTACCCTATATCTCTCACAGACCATGAGAGAAACAAATTTACCAAATATATGAATTAGTAGGCGGTTTCCCAGCAAATTTTTTATCATCATGTATTAGTCAAAACATATTCTTTCACATGATTGGTAATGAGAGCTTCCATTTCATTTTTTGAAATTGGGGCATTTCCAATACTGGTCTTTACCTTTAAGTGTAGCTCAATTTGTTAGTTCGTAGTGTGTTGGGTCGGGGCAATTAACTCATAATTTTCCCCTTTCACAACTTAGAATTATATAGATATAATTATAAAATTGAGACGATTGGTTACCTTTGATCCGAATTCGTGCTTTAATTATACTCAACTCGAGCAACGTCTGAAATTAGCATATTCATCAATCATCTAATTTGCATATTCATTACAATTGTATCAAATTAAATGTTTGCTACATGAACGTCATTAATTGTCGCTTGTTTTTTCTTGGCTGAAACTCTAGGAGCATAACATTGCTGAACTTGGTCGACAGGTCAAGGAATTCCAGCGGCAGGTCAAGGAACTCCTGAGGGCGCCTAGAAGCAAAGAAGTCTCGCTCTCGAGCGACACGTCGACGCAGTTCAAACAACGTCTCGCCAGCATCAAGGGAGACTATGAGGCTGAGATTGACAAACTGAAGGTCTATCTGGATAAGGAGAGAAGTAGGTGAGGGTCAAATGTCAAAGATCAATTGCTTTCTGACCTCCTGTATAGAAAGACCACCTTTTTATGCCCCCGTTAAGAAGTAGCCAGAGGCATTATGTTTTCGGGTTGTCCGTACGTCCGTCTGTACGTCCCGTTCTCGTGATCGCGATTCCCTTGAAGCATGTGTAATAGTAAAATTTGCTATAAAGACCATATGCCTGTTTGTTTCCCTTGATGTAATGTTTTCTTATAATGGTAAATTAAGCTTGCCAAAAAAGACCCTCTTTTTATGTTTCCCTTGGGTGGTCTTTCTGTACAGGTTTGACCGTGCATGCAAATGTATATACGTTGATATATCATGCTTTTAATTACCGGAATGGTAATTATAAATTAGCACACTCAGAGGATGTATCAGCTATTCATCCTACTTCTTGATCCTCACTCCCCGTAGATTTCTTGCCGAGAAGCGGCGACAGGAGCAGGATATCAAGATGCTACTTGGCAACATTCACAAAGAGAGCATTCACCTGATGAGAGCCATCAACAGATTCAAGGAGAGCATTGCTGTCATCTTAGAAAAAGAGAGTGAGTTTGACTATTGATTTCTTAAAGTTATAGACCAGTTCTGGAAACGCCCCCCTCTCAAAAAATGAAATGGAAGCTCTTATTGCCAATCATGTGAAACATGTTTTTACTAATACGTTATGATACAAATTTTGCCGGGAAACCGCCTACTTATTGATATATTTGGTAAATTATCATATCGATCCGGCCTGGATAGATATCGCAAATGCACTTCAACATTGAACATTTGGGCATATATTTCTGCTTTTTTGCAAATTTAAGTTGAAGTATTGCCATCTTAACCTTTGAAGGCAATATTTAAACAATATCGAATTGATATTTTCAATCCAAAACCCTTACTTAAGCACGGCTATATAGGCGATCGGGTGCACATTTCTTGTATTCACCGTAACTGTGGCAAATTTGACCCTTAATTTGGAGGGGTGTGGAAAATGAGATTTTAATTTGCTTTCGAGCAATACTGAAAGGGGAAATATTTTGTATTTGACCTTCGTTCAGCTTTCCATTAAGATAATGTTGTATTTTCATCGGATATGGTCTTTTTAAAGTAATGGTAGCATCTACAAGGCACCATACATCTCATGCAAGATATTAACAGACTTAAAAAATGCTTCAGTGTTAACTTGGACAAAGAAATCAAGTTTGTATTTTGATTTTGAATTAACACTGTTTGGTTTCATTTAGGAAGCAAGGTGTGTTTATTGTAATAATGTTCTCATCTTCAAATGATTTTTGTTTTGTTCAGGCCTTCTTGATACGGCCCATGAGATCAGACAGATGGACAATCTACTCGTTGAGGAGGTAGGCATGTCTTAAAATTTATATAGCTTGGGATGTACACGTAAGAGTGATACAAATTAAATTAAATATTGAATTATCAAATAGAGCAGAGTCTGATTTTTAAAGTTTAGTTTTATTGACTTTTATTAATTAATTCAGTTTGCAAAGTGCAATGAAAAGTTGTGAAAATGGTTAAGATATTATTGCTCTTTTCCCCCATGTGCTTTTAGTGAGGCAATGTATGATTTCCAAATACTGTCTCTATTTTGGATACATTTATGGATATTTCCCTTTTTTTCAATTGAGCAGGTAGGCACAAAAGACGTCAGAAGATCTATGAACCAGACAGCTGGAAATGCCATGGAATGTAAGTGAAAATATATGAAATTAAATTATTGATGTTATCATTGTTGTCGTTATGATTGCATCTTCATCATTATATTTTCTATTGATTATCTTTCTTCTTTCATTTTGAAACACCTTCCTTGTAGTGTGTTTGTAAAACAATAATGCATGAATGTGTGCTTTTGCCCCTGCTCCTAACAATGTTACTCTAACTCTACCCCTGACAACATGAATAACATTAAGTTTTTAACCAGAGAATGTGTTTAATTATGGTCATGTTATGTATTTTGTCAACTAAACCACATTTGATTCATGCTTTCACATTCATCTTTCCATCATGTGTAGGTACATGTAAGCTAACTTCTTAAAAACGCAACTCAAACATTAATTCACACCTATTTATTACTCTTTATTCAACTTTACCTCTGTGTATGTTTCTCCTCTTCTTTCCTTTCTCTGTATGCTAGTATTTCATTGTCTGTATATTTTCTTCCCCCTTCTCTATCACTATCTCTCTTTCTCTTTCTCTTTCTCTCTCTCTCTCTCTCTCTCTCTCTCTCTCTCTCTCTCTCTCTCGCTCCCTTCTCCTTCTCTCCCTCCCTCTCTCCCCTCTCTCTCTCTCTTTATCTCTTTGTTATCTGCTAATAAAGATCTTATCATATTTGTGCTTATTTTTCAGAATCTGATTTCAATCTTTCTTTTTTTTTGCACTGTCTGCTTTATTTTTATTCTAGTATTTCATTCTCTCTCTATCTCTCTCTCTATCTCTCTCTCTTGTTATCTGCTAATAATTGTTTTATTATATTTAAACAAAGTTTTCAGAATCTGTTTTTTCTTTATGCACTGTCTGCTTTCTTTGTATTCTATTCACCTCCTTCCTCTATGTCTTGTTTTGGTATGCATGATCATCCATCCCATCATGGACCCACTTGTTTCATTTCATGTAACCTTTTCACCTGCACCTCATCCACATCAATCTTGCAGTATTGGTGTCACTTGAATTAAAGATTGCGCACGCTCTTATGAATAAGGTGAGGTTCATGGACTAATCATGTTTGTTATCTTCTTTGATGAAATTTATATTAAAAAGATTCAACTTAATCTTGTACTAACCATTGTATCTGGACATTTAGATCACTATCTGTGATGCTTCTTCTTATGATTGTTTTATTTGAGCTTTTTAATGATTTTCTTTAGTTGATCATAAGTATGTTGTATTGAAGGTTACGGGCTAAAATATTTATATATGTTTGCCTCTTTAATCTTTCTCTACTACATGATTGCATCTACATCTACATGTACTTGTAAATTCTTATCTACCTGGCCACCTCTTTTATTTCTTTTAATGCATATTACTGTGTCTTTTGAGCAGCTTATTCAAATTACTGATAACAGGAGGTTAATCAAAATCTGTGTCTCAAGATCCATCACATTGTTGCCCAAACAGCTCACAAGCTATGGAATATAATAGATAGATGATGAAACAAATAGCATTGTTTAGTTGGAATGTGCCAATGCTATTAATTTTTATGCCGTTATTGAATAGTGTAATTTTTCGTGATTTGTACCTTCAGCGTTTAGAAATAAAGGAAGCACTCACAGCCAAGGTGAAGACATCTGGCACAGTACCTCCCTGTGTAGACTACAACGGGGACGTGGATAAACTCTACCAGGAGAACCAGCAGTTCCAGGAGAGGATACTCAAGGTATATAACCATCTTTGGTGACAATTTTGAAAAAAAGTTATCTAACCGATTTGAACCTCGTTCATCTGAAGCAGTACCGTATTTGCCGGCGATAAGGCTGCAGTGCCGTATCAGCCGCACCCCCGATTTTGATTGTCAAAGCCGGGATTTGATCTCTTGCGTATAAATGTTGATTTAATTTAAAATCACCGCCTTAGACCGCTCGGCCATCCTGCACTGATGCTAGTTAATGTAGTTTTTTGTGATGTATACATTGCGCCTCTCTCTTGTGTATTGAAATGGATTCAAAATAGCAACTCGCGTGCTGGATGCTTCGCGGCAGCTCCGTTAAACGGGCCCTTCTTTTACTTTTGCAATGCATTGGCACGAACTTAGATCAAGATCTATCGGCAGATGTTGTTTTTGGAAGTTTATTTTCGTCTTCATGTCAACAATGCAAGATAAAATTGTTGGTAAGATTTGTGGAAATGTATAGTTATTGTACTGTTCGTAGATCTAGTCCCATATGTGCAAATTCGTGCTCGTTTTGACTTACTTTTTAAATTTTTTTTTTACTCTTTCGTCGCATAGGCCGCACCCCAACTTTTTGATATTTTCTCTTCCAAAAATACTGCAGCCTTTACGCCGGCAAATACGGTATACCACCTCAAAATCTACTGTGGCAAAGTAAAATGACATAAGCATAGTGTGCTTCAGATTTCTGCATATTATAAACATAGATAAGTAAGGATGCTTAGGTACTATTGTTTCACACAGCTACTTTTTATGTTCACCTCCATTTACTTCCAATTATGTGTACACACATTTATGTAACTTTCTGTTTATTGTTTTCTTTATACCATACTAGTATCATGACCAGATGAATGCAGCTCAAGTCAGCTTTGAAGAAATGAAAAGAATCAATGTAAGTAACACTCTTGAAGGGTAGATTTATTGGATTTTATTAATCAATGTTTATTTTGCATTATATTGATAGGTTCATCATGTGTCTTCACTTAATTTGAATCTTTGATTTTTTGGCCTCAAATCATCTGTTCCATAGTTTGAATTAATTGACTGTATTATCATCTGCTCAGTGCCAGAAGGACTAAAGTGCTATTATTGAATGTCATCATATGATATGAGAATACAGATATTTCGACTCTCTGTTCTCTATTTTCCAAATGAGTTAGGATATGATAATACTCTTTTTACGGTACTCATTAATTTTGTGCACCTGTTTGTCTATGGCTTGGCTAAAGGAAGAGAAGTACAATTCTTTGTTGGAGAGACACAAAGGCCAGATCCTACAAGCAAGCAACCTACAGAGGGAGCTACGATCATTGTAAGTTAATTATCCATCAATCAAAATGGTAATGGAATATTTTCCAGCATGTTTTTACTTTCTGTATAGCCTCCTTGAGAATACTATCTATGGTATGCATCTTACAGTGTTTACAAATCATATTGGTGTTGTACCCCTATATAGGACCTACAAATAATAATTATGCATTGTGTCACATGACCTGAAACTGTGATGTTGACGGAAATTTTTCTGCAGAGGTGAGACAGTAAGCATACAATGAAAAATCAACCTCAGTAGATGGGTATGCTGTTCAGTTACAGTTATTGTTAAAATCAGATTATGGTGTGTTTCTATTGAAGTTTGTACCTGGAAATGATCTGTTTGAACTGGAAGGTACATTAACATTATTTTGAAATCCCGTCTAAATATGCTGTTTGATTGGCATAATCCATGTCTTTGTTATGTTTTTTCTACTTGTTTATCTGACAGAGAGACAGCCTTCCGCGAGGAGATTAAGAAGAGAGATGCAAAGCTGAGAAACATGAGGATGAACCAAGTAGAGCAAGAGCGTAATCAACAAGTTCTTGTTTCAAGACTCAACAGCGTTGAAGAGGAGGTATACAAACAAGCCCTCTGGGGTTTTCAATATCGTAATGGGTCACAGCCAGTGCAGTTTTGGGGTCACAGAGAGTATGGATATACAGTCAAACCTGTCTATAAAGACCACTCAAGGGAGACAAGAAAAGTGGTCTTTATAGACAGGTGTTCTTTATGTACAGGTTCCTTTAGTACAGGTTTGAATGAAAAAACATATTTATAGGAAACAAAAAATGTAGTCTTTACAGACAGGTGGTCGCTAAAGCAGGTTTGACTGTATGGATGTTCACATGTGTTAAATTGTTAGGGTATACTCAGACATGGGTGATTCTTTCATGTGTATTCAAAATTTGCTCAATTTCATAAAAAGTAAAATAATATACAGGATGTATAGTATGTATTAGTGTTGTTGATGTAGAGTCTTACACAAAGACCCTCCTAGACTACCCATTCACCCACTTACAGAAATTCATGTGATGCCTAAATGAAGGATTGTGATGCTAAAGCTGATGCTCCTGAGAAGCTGTTTTTTTTGCTTCAAGTCTAGGTCGTTTTTTAAAGAGATGTAGTAATTCTAACAACTATTATTTTAAAAGTACATAGATTTTTCTTCCCTCTGCAGATTCTATTTTTGGTAACATGCAATAGTTTGTTGTTCATACATGAGAGTGATATTTGTATTTTTGTTTTGTTCCTGACAGCCCCGTCTGACCCTGAAGAAGCCTAACGTTGAGCAGATGAGGATGAAAGTCAGCGATCAACTCAAAAATCTAACCATGCTGGAAGATGCCTTCAAAGAAAACAAAATATCACAAGAACTACACGCAGTAAAAACAGACTTATTGCTTTTTATGAATATATGCATTTGCTGAGTCGAATGTGTCTAAATAAAGGCAGATATTTTTCACAACAGAAAAATATAACAGATTACTCTGAAGTAGAAAATTTGTGTATTCCAAATATGACTGATAATAGCTAAGAGTTTTGGACCAAAGTGAGGTTGACGCTAAGAGGCATCCAAAATCTCAGTCCAGTCCCCCCAAAATGTTTTTAAAAATTTACATATGGCTCATGCATTAAGACTTCTAAAAATATAAATCCAGACCCCACAAAAGTTAATGTGGGGCGCTGCCAAAGTTGCAAAGTTGTAATCCACATATTCATAACACTGTTATGATTTAAAATCATCACAGCATTCTATAGTCATTATTTACTTCGAAAAACGACCTCTACCATCTCTTAGACAGTATCCTTTCACAGTGCAATGTTATGAGCAGTTATCAAATTATCTTTCAATTGAGTCCTTTTGGGGGGTTTGTTTCTTGCAGATAACTGTTAATATCATCAACCAAACTATGGAGGTACCTGAGATCAGGCTAAGAAGCCTCTTTGAGAGATATATCACATTCAGGAGACTACAGGAACAGAAAGGTTAGTTTGCCTTCAACAATGCTGCTCTTAACCAATTCTCTCTTTCCCATAGGTTTAATACAGGGACCACCCAGCTCCAGGAGGCAATGGGTTATGACTTTAAGTTTTGCAAGGTTCATCTGGGGGGTGTTTCACAAAGCCTTTTTTCAATGACAAATAACAGAAATCAGTGACAAATCTGCTGATAACCAACCAAAAGCAAGGATTGCAGTAGCTTAAACAAAAACTGTCATTTGTCACTGATGACCAGTTTTGTGAAACACCCTCCTGTTAATCTCTTTTCACTTCACAATGGCTGATAACTGGGATTGTTATTAACCTTAAGAGGGAACTATTTATGGATTGTTCTATTTTTTTTTTTTATAAAGATGATACAATTGTGACATGTATGTTTAGTTGGGAGGGAGGGGGGGGGGGAATGGCAGAGCTTGAAATTATCCTTTCATTTTCAGATTTAACTGTGATCTAGAGCACTTGGAAGGATGGGATATTGCATTTTAATGTAAATTTTAAGCAAAGAAAATAATAATGTTAGTCTAGAGTCTAGTATTGCTAATGATAATATGTTGTGAACTCTTACATAAAAGATTTCTTCATGTATTATATACAAATGTTTGTTCATAATTCTTCAAACTTTTGAAAGAGAAATTCATTGAATATGCATTGAACTAACAAGTTGCAATAACTTATATTGATGATTCTTGACAGAGGAATTATCTGAAAAGATAAAAGATACCAAGGCTGGAGATACAGAGAAAGACAAACGACTCACTACCTACCTAGAGAGGATGGGCAAACGAATGAATGCGGTAAGTTGAAGTAACTCAATTAAAAGATTTCTTTAATTAGGACTCTTTTCATGTATTAAAGCTCTTGTCACTCAGTTCAATTTTCCCAAAGTATGATAAGCTATCGCTTCCTTCATTATCCAGGTTATTTGCAGAAGGTGACAATAGAATTATATCATTTGACCTTTCATAAGGAAATGGAAGAACAGAATAAATTTCTCTTGAATGGTGATGTTTGATTTATTTAATAAATTATTCAGTGGATAAGAACATTTTCTTGAATGATGTATAAACATATAATTATAATGATAATAAATATAACTTATATAGCACCAAATCCACTCTGTGGAGTGCCCAGGGCGCATGTAGAAATGATTAAAAATTAAACAGAAGCCTTTTTACATGATTTTTAAAGGAATCAGAGTTTATACACTTTTTGATGTCTTCAGGAAGGCTATTCCATAAGGTAGAACAGGTGAGCAAAGGATCTTTCCCCCAAAGTTGTTGGATCTTAAGGAAACACAAGGAAGCTGGAAAAGGAAGCAGATGAGCGTAAAGATCTCTCTGGACATAAAGAGCATTAATTCATATTTTGACACAGAGTTAATACCCTTCTGGCTCTGAACATATGATTTGTATTTTATCCTTTTTCAGAGTATCGATAAATGGAGGGATAAGAGAGAATCTCTGAAGCAACAGAGAACAGAGCTATATGAACAGATGTTGGCCATGTGAGTTATTTTATGTTTTATTTTGGAACTAGATGCTCCATACAGTTAACGGAGATGCTTTTATTTAATTCTCAGGTAATAAAAAAAACTATTAGTGAGGTACCATGATGAAGAAAGTAAAATATACAAGCTATATGGTTGCAGGGCCCTCTGGGAGAACAGTATTAATACTGATGAGGCATCCCTGGGTAAACAAGACATATTATTATTATTATCTTTGATTATATATTAGACCTTGCTTTTCTTCACATAAGGATGTGCAACTGTCTTGTAATGAAAATATGTACCTTGATGTGTATCTATAAACATTTTCAATTCATATTTTTTCAGTTTATAGTATTTTTGTTCAAAATAGTAATCATTTGACAAACTGTATTCGATTGATTGAAATGGGAGTTGTTTATGACAAATCAGAAACGATATGTGACAGGCAATCATGTTAGCGTACAGTGTTAATATCAGTATGATACAATATGATTTCAAAACATTCTATGGTTCATGTGCTAAATCCCTGAACACTGACAACAAGATTTTCTGGTATTGCTACTTTTCTAACTCTACTTTTGAAGTACAAAGTGGGACAGATGGATTAGATGAACATGCTTTCATCATCTTCTTTTATACAGCTTTGATGCAGTAACACAGGAAGCCGGTATCAGTATGATCCGTCCCAGGACAGCTACCTTCAAACCTTACAAGCCTCCGAGCAGACGACGGAAGTCCAAGATACAGCCTAGCGGTATTCATATGGACCTATCTGGTAGTATGGCAAAAGAGTCTGTCATTGGGACCAGTATGGCCCTATTGGGAGAAACTGGACCATTCTGGAGGGTGAGTAAGGCCTGGTCTAAATAGGTGGTCTTGGAACTTGGGCAGTTTGTATTTGTAGTAAAAGCCAGTAATACAAACACTGATAATATCATTGGTAATCAAGTACCTGTTTTATTAAAATTCTCTTGTCTGTACATAAAAAGGTGTAATTCAGAACGCTATGGAAATATGCATGATCAGAAAGACAAGGTTGGTAGTCTGCAAACTATTTGACATTTTATGCAGTGAGATGTATTTCTATTTCCATTACAAATTTGAATTACAATTAATCCCTGGTTAATGGTGTGGACTTGGTGTGGACTTGGTGTCTATGTATGCAAAATAATCTTGGGAAACATCCTTTAATAAAGTGTTTCACATGATTTCTATTTCTAAATGTTAAAGCCTCACTGCACTACCTGTAGCTACTTGCTCCCTCTATATAAAAAATAATGCCCAAGTGGTGGCCGTTGGTCCCCCATGATCCTCTCTTTCTTATGTTAATTAAGAGCTGAGTTGATGAGATAGCCACCTGTCAGTGACCAGCAGGGTGGTCTAATCTCTCCTAGCCGAACAAGTGCAGACGGGCTTTAAAAGTCTTTCACAGTAATAATTCTAATATTATGGACAATTAATCCAAGGTATCACCATGGAATGTGTAATTTTTAATCAATTTCCCATCTTCTTCTTTCACCTTGAGTTGGACATACATGTACATGTAACACAGGAAATGCGTTTTCATAGATGTATGTGCTATGACTAAAGATCTTAACCATGTTACATGAAAGGCTGCGATCAAGTGCGAGTTACAAACAATATAAAAACAGCTCTCCTTCATAACCCTTTGCACAACAGGGTACAGGAGAATACCTGAATGTGTCTAAAAAAGTTCTTACTTTTTTCCTTTCTTTGTCACTTTTCTGTTCAGATGCCTGCCAACTGGGAAGCAACAACTGCTGTGGTGACCGTCCCTAAGATGCTGGATATGGATGTCAATACAAGACGCAAGACAGCTCAGGAGTACGCACATATACCTCCATAATGTAGCTTTGCTTCTAGTTTAGCTCAGTTTATTGGAACTGTATATTTCTTATGTGTTATAGAGTTCTTACTAATGTTTGAAGCTGTAGACACGTCCATGTGTGTCATTCTGATTTTTATCAACAATTTTTTAACCCATTTTCGCAATTCGAGTCGTAGCCACGTTGGTAATGTCATATAGCAAGTTATCAATCAACATTTACCACTCTCATTCCGTGTCTTTAATGGGTACTTTGTCAAAAAATTATATCTTTAATTCCGGTTCAGAAACTAGGGTAACTTTGCTCAAGCCAGGGCAATAACTACTTTGTAGGCGCCTTGAGCAACCTCTGGGATGGATATACATGTATGCGCAATATAAATGTAGCTGATATCACAAAATTGTGTCTTTCGGATTGTACAAAAGCATTGAATGCACACATCTTCATCCCTTCACAATCTCACACTCTATTTCTCTCTTCTTCACCTTCTCTTTCAGTGTTTTATTGAGACTTGGCAAGGGCGATGACTCTCGTAACATCAACGCTCCAAGAATCAATAGAGAAGCAACCTTACCTCCTATTGCCTCCCTCTTTCCTCCAATCTCTAAGTAATGTGTATGGCCTGAACTCTACTATATACTCAGAATATTTGTACTTTTATACAATGATTCTTGCATCACAATTGCATTGCTGTATTTAATTTGAGAATAGTATTTTATTAAGCTATGGAGGATATAGGTCTATTGGCCAACTTATAAAAAGTTATAAAAGTGCAATACAACTAGGTGCTGTAAAAGGTTTTTATGAATTATTTTGTACTAAGAATTCAAAACAGAGAGTGAAAAACATGAAATCCATGTAGTTTTACTAATATTGAAGTGATTTTAAATTCATTGCACACAATCAAACCTTTTTGTGGTTCAAGAGAAAGATGCATGTTTCTTTTGAGATCAATTACAGTTTAATGTTGATGTTTTAAAAAATACATTTATTATAATACACAATGTACAATATTTCTACTGTAGGTGTTATGTGGATAAGCCCTGATGCAGTATAAACCCAGAACTACCGGTATATGCTTGGTACATGCAGCTGATAAGTATATTTTATTATCTATCATAGCTGAAAAATTGATTGCTAAACTGTTGAAAACATCTGAAACATTTATATTAGTAACATGACAGCAAGAATTTTGTATGAATGTCAACTTCTTTTGATACAACGAAGCATTAAAGACGGCAACAGTCGTGTATGAATAAGAAAACTTATCTCCGATTGTTTTCAATGTGTGTTTTCACTTTGGTTGATAATTCATGATTAAAATATTAGAATATGTTTCTGCTAATTAACATGACCAGAACTATAACTTCAAAGGAAATACTTACATAGATCTCACAGATGCATATATACTATACACTCCCAACTCGTGGCTCAAATAAACATGAAATATGAAAATAAATAACAGACAAAATAATCATTGATCTCTTCTTGCAGAATTGATATTTTAATTGCAAATTGTAATCATATGGTATCTCTTCATAGACACACATACACGCATAGGAAAATAAATGCCCACATCTTGCACTTCAGTTGAATGCATTGCCTTTCCTAGAATATACACTGTATAACAAACCACTCAGATTGAAAAGCATGGAGAATGCAAAATGATTCCAATTACTTGACCGGAAATAAAAGTTATAAGGGATGTTGACACTAAGGTCCGAATACAGTTATTAAACATTTTAAAATATTGTGATAATCTGCAATGTATATGTACTGAAGCCCATTTACCGAAATAATAAATATATGGCACCTAATACATGTACATACAAAGTATTTCACAAAGCAAGGTGATAAGCAATTTAGTAGTAAGATGTTTCAGGGTTTGTTTTAATTGCACTTCTTTAAATGTTAACATCTGTTGGAAATGTCCAGATTAAGTTATAGTATATTAATATCCCTTACAGACATGTAAGATATATTACTTTCAGCTTACAATAATCAGTTTGTTTGGAATGAGGCCGTTCTTAAAATATCTGTTCCCACTCATTTCTTGATAGACTGAAGTGGAGTGCTGTGAGTAACTTTGATTACAATGATGGTGCTACATATTTCCCCCAAAAAGAAGGAAACAAAAAGGTAGAAGATACCATAGAAAAAGTGACAACTTGGTGAATAAGCAATGCAAAAAATAAAACACTTGTTAAAAAATAATATATATACAGGTCTCTCCAGTGTACACATAAAATAACTCTGTTGTTTCTATTATACTCCTTTAAAAAAAGTTATTTAAAAAAAAAGGAAGAAAACAAATAAAAAACATACTATCACCAACTTTTTAGCACATACACGTACTGGGTACATGTACCTGGTATATAAAATTTGAAATACATCAATCGTAAAACTATACACCAAGAATGAAATTGTATATTGAACTTGTGGGAGACCGGATAAATGAAGGATAATTCAACAGTATAAGGCAAATCGTGCTAGAGAAAAGCATTGTGTGTGATCAGTAAAATAACTGTAAAAGTAGTGTCAACTTAAAGATTTAAAAATGCCACGATATATGTTTGCAGAGAACATAACATGTACATCTTAGACTACCTGCTACTACATGCACATCTCTCTTGTTTTGTTTTGAGTGGTTTCAAAATGTACCAATCATCTAAAAAATAATTTGTGAACACCTACAATGTATACAATCAACCTAAAAAAAGATATTACCTGGCATTCTATGGGTTAATGGTCAAGAAGTATGAAGAAATAAACCTGAGGATACAGAAACCAAGTTTGACTCTGGTTCCTGTAAGCATGTACAGGTGTGACAACTAGTCTACATACTTGAGAGTGTATTTGTACTCACAACGTTTCCTCATTCATTGTAGAAGAAATATTTGAAGCTCTTATTTTGATTACAGTACAGTATCCCTCGCATGCAGAGCAATATATTTTCTGGTTATAAATTGGCACACTTTAAAGAAACCCTGTTTATAGAGAACCATACATTAGCTTTACCACACGTACAGTGTACCCCCAAGTTACACATTGACTCTTCACACATACCCACTTGGCCCAATTAAAAATAAAACCCCAAATATCTTTACATATAATCTCTAGTATATAGCCTCAAATATATTTCCTTATGTAAAATACTTTAGATTTTTTTAAATTCATATTTACCTGAACTATTTAACTTATGTATTTCTTTGTTTTTTATCTTGTTTTTTATGATCATGTGTATTGTTGTATTTGCTGCATCCCCAGACATGTTTGGTTTTCATGTCTGAATAATTACAATACAATACAATACAATACCTAAAGCAATTATTGTCCGATGCTCACATCTCAAAATATACACACTATCACTTATTTGTAACTTGAAAAGCACCAAATTGAAGTGTTGCTATTCACTTTCAAGATAAGAATGTCGTTCGAAATACTGTATCAACTGATCTACTGAGCTATTCGGCAAATCATATTAATTTATTGACCTCTCATGTATGATTACAAAAAAAAATCATGAGATTATACACACAACGTCATTCCTAGTAAGCATGTAAAGATTTACATGGACATCAGTACTGACAAACATGTACTCTAATCTTCTGTAGTCTGTAACACTTTGGCTAGATGCTTGTACATTTCTTCCTGTTAAGGATGATCCTGTGCAATGTCTATGTATGTGACATACGTCTTTTATTTCATTATTTTATCTAAAGATGAACAAAATCTCTTGATAAGATCACTGAATGAGAAAGAACAATTAATCAATAGACATTTTGAGGAATATTTGTTTTTGGATAAAATAAAATGAGAAAAGACACAATACTGGACTTATTGTTCATTACGATATACCTTTGGAAATACTAATACATCCTTCTTTCATTTTAATTGAAATATATCAAATTAAATTGAACTGGATCAACTTGTGTAATCCTGCTTGACCCATTCAAATATCCACATCAACTCCAACACATCACAAACTCCTACTCAAGAATTAGCTGATATACTAGAGCACTTTCACACATCTCCACTGTAAACACAAAACCTTTTCAGGTCGCTTACATCGAAATATCTTGCTTCAGATAGCTAGCATACAAACAAAATATAGTTATTGCACATTTTTGTTTTGTTCTCGAGGCAAAGCTTAGTTAGAATTGCAAAATACAAAAGTCATAAAATACACAACAATTTGAAAGTTGAGAATTTCAAGATTGAATATGACAAACAATTTTCGCATATGTGTCATAGATGATCATAGCAACGCTGAATAACCTTTAATTTTACATCTCTAAAATAGTGAGTTTCTAATATCTGGCAGTTTCACAGGTACATGTACCTTATGTACACAAAAATAAACGTTAACTCTATTCTTTTTTACTTGCATAATACACATTTATCCTTAAAAATAACTCTTTTTTCCCTAGTATAAATATTATTGCTTGCTTAGCCTGAATTATAGAACAAACTTCAGTTTAATACTTTTATTTTTCTTGCAGTGACTCTCAAAGTCTTTAATTTGAACTTTGTGAAATATGGTAATGTATATCACTAGTTTGAAAGAGCAATAATGGTATTGAATAGATCATTACCATAATGAACAACTGCACACATTATTTCCTAATATGTTTGTTATTATAACATTTTAATTTACCTGCTTGTAAAAACTGCAATATGATCATTTTAGAAATTCAACTACTGTGGTAAAATAAGTAATTTCGTTATATTTACAATGCTTTTATCTAAATTAAATTTATCTGTGTGCACTAATGTTATTCTGATCATCTTGATGCTTCAATTGCTCCTGTGAATTAAGTGATAACCGTACATCCATACAGTTATATATGAAACTTAATATACTGAACTCTGCTACATATACATAGCATCACTTTAATGTCCAATACATTTACATCATCGACCTGATGCAGTCATACGACTGAATGTCGTTTACATTTACATCAGGCAAAAAATTGTCAACTCGTAAATTTAGCAGATAATAATTCTTTCACACTCAGATTTTGTGAAACAGGAATGATATCATAGCATAGCACAGCACTGCACACTTGCCACTTAACACGTGTATAAAATTTTGCATTGAACTAGTCTCTTTATACTAAAAAATAATAATACAAAACACACTATATCAAGATAGCCCTAAATCAGTCAATATATCATCATTTGAATTGAGCAATATAAGCAAAAATATCTTTGATATATGTAGTTATATTGCTTACCATAAGCAACATATATACATAGACTCCTAGATCATATTTTTTGCATACAACTTTAACGTGAAAATATCAGCTCATCTATATACATAAATTATTTGACACATTCTCTACTATAGTTCCACATTTTTCTAATTCCATTAAGTAGATTTCATTAAGTTGTTTTTAAATGGGCAGTCCACCCTAACGTGAAGGAAGAAAAACAGGTTTGTGAGAACAGAGTAAACAAAATACATAATAGGAGTTATTTTTTTTTTAGTTTTAAAGATCACTACAACAGCATGACTTCATTTGTTACTAAAAAATTTGTCGTACTTTAAAAGACTTATACATGTATGCTCTACATATCATTGGAAGTGTGTTTTTATTATTCATCCTGTATGAAATGAGTGCTTACTTTATTCTAAAAAAATAGATTGAAATATTTTGAAAAGATGATATAAATTTAATGAAGAGCTTTCAAGGAACAGCAGACATTTACCATTTAATGTAGGGATCTTCAAACTTAAAAAGTCCCTTGTTCTACATCACAATTCTCTCAAACTTTCACTTGACCATTTCTCTGATCTAAACATTTTCTCATGGTTGACTTCCACTTCAGAACAAGGGGAAAAAAAAATAGTCTACCAATGAGACCTTAAATATTACCTTTAATATTGATATTAATACAAGTCCACTATATTGTACGAACGACCATTAGACTTACGTGCACATGTGCAGGGTCAATCTCTGTCTTGCAACTAACAGCCAGAAATGCCATTTGTACATTAACTCAGGCATGGAATTATAATGAAGTTGTGCAAGATTAGGCCAAATGCATAAAACGGCATTTCATTATGTTTTGCTTACTGCCTGCTGTGTAGAGAAACAGGTGAAAGCCTACAAATACTGCTAGTATAATTATATGTACAGGCTATCATCTAGATTCTAGCACATTTCAGTAATAATAATAATAATCTGGCTTTATATAGCGCTTAAAACGGAATACCGTCTCTTAGCGCTTTACAGATATTATTACCCCGGTTATCGCATTCATTCACAAACAATGTGCACCATCTCCATTCTCTGCGGAGTATTCCTACCATATGGTCACAGTGAGGGCATAGGCAATTACTAACAAATGCTTTCGTCATCCTACCGGGTCCCCATTTCTCTCTTGGGTATGGAGTGGCAAAGTAGATTAATGCCTTGCCAAATGACAATAGTGCAGTGTCGGGGATCGAACCACGGCCTTTGTAATTCAAGTCAAGTGCTTAAACCACTCGACTACGACACTTCTACTTAATGGTACATTTCTCATCAAGGTGATAGCTCCTTATGAGCAGACTACATGTACATTCATGAATAATATAGTGATATATATATAATAATAATGCAGTAATATTCCAAAGTGAAACTTTATAGCAGGCTTAGTAAAGTGATATTGATGTTTGCAGTACTCCTACCCCCTGCCTTTATCCCAGTGACAGCATTTGTCTTAAATCATGTACACAAATGAAATCTTTGTGGTGAATGAGAAAGACTATGGTTAGGAAAAAAGGGTGATACAAGTATCATGATCACTATTCTCAACTAATACCAAATCTGATGTACATGTATTAGCTTTTCAAGCTATACACTGGTCAGCATATTGCGGCAAAATTATATCAATATGATTTCTACAATAAACAGCTAACAAGTAAGTACGGTAGTCTAAAAAGATGGCAGTATTGGTTGAATTACCACCTCTAATACTGATTATGTATACTTTGTAGTATACTCTTTTTTTTTGGGGGGGGGGGGGAAGGGTCTGACTTCTAACATTGCACTCTATCTAATGTTTTCTAAAATACTATTATCATATATATTTCCTTTAGCCATTTAAAGAAGATTAAAAAAAGGTTTTAAAGTGCTTCGTTTTAAAATCATAATGTTGTATGAATACTGGCTGGATATACGTACTGTATTTTTTTTGGACATTTCCTCTACAAACATTTTCTATATATTGTGTATCAAATGCCCTGTATGATGACATTTCAAGTTTAAAGCCAGGGAATGGCTACCTGCATCCTGTTCACCAAGTAATGCTGACCAATATATATATATATAATATTTGGTTAACTTTGTTGAAATGTCATATAAACTTAATAGAAAAAGCATTTCCATGCAAAATCATAAAAATTACATGGCATTGCCCTAATACACAAAAGACATGCTGATATTTATTTTCAACATTGTTTGCAGAAAAGCAAACAAACAAGGAAGTAAAAAATTAAAAATGGCATTGCTTTCGTTGACTGAAGAATGACTAAGTGGTAATGATACTATTCATGAAATCTGAAAGATTCTTGAAAATACAAATTTCATCAAGTCCATGGAGAATATGTACAACTAGTTCTGTTGCAATAAGGGTCTAGAATGTATCCTTGTCTCACCCACCGAAGGTTCAAGGTTCAAGTCAAGAATGAGGGATCTGTCGTCCATCTACAACACAAATGTTAAAATTTACCAAACTTGGGTCAGAGATGCACTTGTGAGACCTTCATGTTATGGTGATGTTGAGAGTCACATGATAAGGTCAAAGGTCATTTGAGGTCATGTTTGAAAGTTGAACCTGAAAGACTCTCTTGTGAATATGGTAGTAACTTTGCATACACTGTTCCAAGTGCAACCAAACTTGGGTCAGGAATGTTCTTTGGCGGCGTTCATGCAATTTGGTCGCAGATGGACGAGAAACAATCTGGCTATTACCTTACATACACAAGGATATACTTTGGTTACAACATGTAAATGTTGAATACTCTTTTTTAAGAACCCTGCATTCATGATTTTGTATGAGTGGACTTTTATATATATATATATATATATCTATATCTATAGGCTGCATCCATTCGCCAACCATCTAAACATTATAATACTGTGATACCAAGTTCAAATACAGTATGTGTAATGTCTTCCACAAAAATAAGGAAATACTACAAACATGGATTACTAACCCTAATCTAATCTGATATGAACATCAGCACCCTGTTGCATAAAACTTACCATTGATGGTAATTTTGCCGTCAATGGCAACTACCATAATAACAGGGCTCAACAGCCAATCAAAATCAAGGTTTCCATGGTAGTAACGGTTGATGGCAAAGTTACCATCAATGTCAAATTCTGTGCAACGGGGCCCTGGACCCCCATGTACCTTCACTGATAGAAAGGGCTTTTCGATTGTGTTGACAAGAATGCTGTTCACTCAGGTAGTCGACGCCCCTTGGTCACTTCTCTTTGAAACCCTTTAGATTTCAGTCCATGCCCACTCGCTGCACTAGTGAATATGATGACGTTGATGCGACGTACATGCTTGTTCTTTCCTGACGCATACATTTTCACATAATTAACCTCAAAAATGTGTCTCAGCTTGAAAAAGTTGTCATAACTCTCTTGAAAGATATCTAGTATAAAGCGCAAAATATTTGTTTTACATAAAAAGTAGAATCTCTTTAGTGTTGCAAATGTTCAAGGAATATCCCTCATCTTGTCATTCTCATAACTGTCCGGTTCAATGAAGGATGCAGGCCTCTTCACCGCCTGTTCAACGAGGGCATACGATAGCTTAGGGTCTGACATACCATACCAGAATACAGTCCATTTACTATTGCTCCAGCTCCCTTCACATCGCTTGAAATACCTAGGTGAAGAGTGAGAAAAGGACATATCTTCAGAACATCTGAGACTTTAATTTTTGGGAAGTTTCTTTCAATTGACCCTTCAACTCCACTGTTTGGTTATTCCAGGAGGTATAAGCGATGCCGCAGTTTCCCTCTAGGAGAAATGTTGGTTCTGCCTCCACCCCCTTCCATCTGGTCATCCCTTCCTCCCTTTCTCCCTATACAACACTATGTCGTCACTTTATTCACCTCTGAACTTCTTTCTCTCACCCTCTCTTTCCCTTTCTTCCTCCTCTCTCTCTTGCTTTCTGTCTCTCTTCTCCCCTCTTTCCCTTCCTTTTCCCTTCTGTCTCTACCTATCTTTCCCTTCTCTCTCTCTCTCTCTCTCTCTCTCTCTCTTTCTCTCCCTCTTTCCAGTTTTCATGCTTTTTTTCTGTTTATGACTATCACCACCTCCGTCTCCAAGCTCCATCCACCTCCCCCCCCCCCCCCACAGCCCCTCCCCCATCTACCCATTGTGCTGTACTCACCATGGGTTAATTTGGTTATTACTTCTCGACCTCCAGAACAGCATCCCAAAGTCTCTTCTCAAGTAGTCCCAAAGCATCTCGCTTGTCCCTTCACCCTGAGGCACAAATGCAAAAACAGGTATTTTAAGCTAAAAGCTAATCCTCTGGAGATCAATTTATCACATATTCATGCAGATGTCAGGTTGTATTTCCCTGAAGCCTACTTTGTCACAATTAGTGAACTAGAAGGCATCATTTTTTTTTTCTTGACAATAAATGGAACACATGGGATATTTATTATGTATGTACATGTATGTATCTAGCTGAACCTTTCATCCTAGTAAAGAAATGCCAAAACATCAATTTTATCAATTGTTTTTATGCTTGTAAAAATGGTCACCCCCCCCCTCCCCTGGAAGGCTCATTACAATTAATAAAACAAATGGTGAATTAGATTATTTTGTTGGTGCATATATCATATAAGTTGTGCATTGATTTCCTTTAAACTCCATAAATAAATATCTTTATAGCAACAATGATGGTGAGAGCATACATGTTCTAAAAAGGTGTATATTTTAAAGAAACATTGTGAAATAACCCTAAATAATCAAAATATATGATATTTATTTTCATCTTCATCTGAACCTTTATATACTGACCTGTGTTTGGAGACTAATGGAGAACTTGTCGAGGTAAGGCACATTATGTACATCATTTTCTTTGGTAATGATGGCTACTGCATTGTATCCCTCAGATAGATAGATAGTGTGGAGACGTCTAGGAAGCTCCAATATATAATTCTTCTTTAGGACTCTACCAAATGACCTAGAAAGCGAGAGAGAGAGAGAGAGAGAGAGAGAGAGAGAGAGAGAGAGATAGAGAGAGAGAGAGAGAGAGAGAGATAGAGAGAGAGAGAGAGAGAGAGAGAGAGAGAGAGAGATAGAGAGAGCGAGGGGGGTGGGTGGGGAGGTAAAAGATGGTCAAAGGGAGATAGGGAAATAGGAGAGAGGGGGTACAAAAAAGAAAGGAGGAAGAATAGGGAACAGAAGACACACAAAAAAAATGAAACAGAGAAAAAGAAACAAGCAAACTTAATTCTGAGGTACATGTAACATTAATAATGCTAACATATATTTTAGAAAAAGGCCATAAGTACAATCACTTTCAAACCTTAACAGAGTCTATACCTGAAATGATATAAAAGTTTCTGGTTGAAAATATATTAAAAATTTCAAATTTCTACAACAACTTTCCTCCTGTATAACCGATTTCCTACACAAGCTAACATTTTTTACATTTCAATCAGCTTGTTATAGTGATGATCAGGAAATGAATTCCTCAAATGTATTGAGATTGCTACAAAAAGAAAATCACCCATTTGCATTTTTAAATGTCAAAATGGGATTTGGTAAAATCTTCCCAAGACATTTATATATTTTAACAAACACGTATTCTCAGTATCATAAAAACTTCATCATAATCATAGAACATTGCATGTAAAATCACCATGGTAACTTAAAAGATGCCTAATAATCATAAAACCTACAGCTGCAGACAAATATTAAATAATAGCTTTAAGCCTCAATTCCTTCCAGAAATGACATGTACAATGAGATCAATCAAGTGCAAGTGATTCTGATGCGTGAAGCAAGTATATACTGACAAAATGCTCGCATAGGTTTTAATTTTAAGAATTATTATCCATCCTTATATTATCACTAGCCTATACATAGATTTCAATCTTGAGATGTGATGTAAAGCCAGTCCACTGAAATGACATAGGCAGTATCTACTGCATGATGACCAGGAAAAGAAACAACTATTTATCTTGTTTCAAATTATATAATATTTACAGCAGGAAGATGAAGGCAGATTTATATATTTAGCTCATCAAATGATTATTTTCTTAGTTAAATAAATTTTATGCTTTTCCCCAAAGATTTGACATTTCACAGGCATATTAGATAGTACCTTTAAATTAGAAATCAAATTAAACATATGCTTCATCAGTTTTAGGAATATAATTGAGACATATACTACTGCTCGTCTCTCTCTTTTTGTTTTTTCTTTCCTCTCTAATCTCCCTCTATCTTTCTCTTCTCCTCTCTCTTTCCTCTTACTAATCCTCCATTTTCCTCTCTACTTCACTCCCCCTCCCCCCCCCTCTCTCTCTCTTTTCCCCCTCTCTCATCATCCATTCCCCCCCCCCCCTCCCCAATATCTCTTTATCATTTCACTGTGCATGTTTATGTCATTTCCTTCTCATTATGCCACCAGCCTATGGAAGAACAAATTCATTCACCATCTGCTGCTTTAGCAAAAAATTATCCTGGCAAAACATTAATCTGCATTTACCACTTTCTACCTGGGAGAATGTTAGATTGCCAGGAAGCAGGGGAAATATAGTAGGAATAATTCACACATGGTACACACAATGTGCACAGGTTTGAAATCCAACAATCCAAATACAATCAAAACTTCATCACATCTTGATCAGCACATCCATCATAAATTGATACAATCAGCAGCATCATATGTTTGTGTCTGTGTGTATACATGTACAACCCTCCTTCATCTTGAATTTCTGACCTCCAATAGGATTACTCTTGAATGATTGAACATATCTAGCATACAGGGTTTGTATTACTTACCTAGTAATAAGTTGTAAAAGTCTATCTTTATCTACATTCTCTAAATCATAGAACTTCGTTATCCTCTCTGTGTTCTTGAACAAAGTACCCGACCCTGAAACATACAATAAAGCAAGCAAAGTAACAATGAGAAAGATTTATTTCTATAGAGATACCTTTTCAATGAATATTTCAGCATGGCACAGTTTAAAAAGAGAATGAAGTACGATCCAAAGAACTTATCCATCCTGATCATCTGAACTAGCCCTTAAGGTAAGGTCCATGTTCACTTTCCATGATGAATGAACAGTTCAGCCAGGATGCCTTAGAAATTGATTACTACACTAGACATGACAGGAAAGTCTTAGAATCTGTACAACCTCTTAGGGTCAGGTCCACCTTGACTTTCCATGACGAGTGAACGGTTCAGCAAGGATGCTTCAGATATGGCAGAGAGCTCTTCCTGGAACCTCTGGATAAACCTTTAATTTATGGTCTATTTTGACTTACCATGATGAGTGAAGAGTTCAGCCAGGATGCTCTCAGGGGAGGTTATAACTACACTAGACATAGAAGGAAGCGCTTCGAGCATGGTGGATATATCCTGTATGCGGTTCTGGCAGGTATCTGTGCACCATGGCTCATCAACAAGGGACTCCACATCGGCTGGTACGTGGACTTGCGGGATGACCTGTATTGTGAGACAACATGAGGGCACTGATTATCTATGTGAATGATGCACATCGGGAAGGACTGTCAGCATTCAATTACAACACTGTGTTTACATAACTTGAACTCTTCCCAAGCACAAAATAGCCTGGCTGACAGTATTGCAAAATCATCATCTGTCTTTTGAACACTTCCACCCCAATCCCTCAATCAACCATCTTGGCCAGTAATTCCCACACAACATAACTGAGAACAAGTTCCTTACCCCTCCCTTCCCATCTAGAAGACCACCTTTCCTGTTGAGTAGAAGCACCTTGATGGGTTGGACAGCCTTGGCTATCTCTGCCATACCATCTATACTAACTAACTGTAGTTGCCCTAATAAAACAACCTCTACATCATATGTGTGCTTCAAGTCCTTACCTCTCCTTTACCGTCTAGAAGACCACCTTTCCTGTTGAGTAGAAGCACCTTGATGGGTTGGACAGCCTTGGCTATCTCTGTCGTAGCATGGGAAGCATCAATACTAACTAACTGAGAGCTCGACGTCTCTCCTATGGAGGAAACTACAGGTATATGTCCAGATCTGTGCCAGAAAGAAAATGTGGTGATAAAGCATTGGCCATTAGTCAACATTATTTCAAAATAGCTGTTTTGGAATTATCTGGTGTTTCAAATAAAATATTTCAAACAAAACCAACTGATTTCATCAAAATTTTCAATCAACAATCATATGATTCATAGTTACAACTCTTGGAACTACCTTCTCTGTTCTAATGTATATCATCTATCTCTATCATCAGATTTTAAGATTCATTTAGAACACATGACAGCATCATAAGTATAGTATTGATTGCTTTAATCTATTTTTGACAGCATCAAAAATAAGCAAAATTGCTTTCTTGTATTTCTTGTAACTGCTGTAAAACCTTTAAAGTAGACGGTTTTGTAGAAGATGCCTATAATGCCTCAAAAAGGAACCGGTAAGGCAAAAAGGATTTCTTTTATCATGACACTTTCTGGTACTATACAATGCATGACCTTTAACCCTTACCCTATACACCATTCTAGTGGTTCTGTGTTGACGTGAACCACCCTTCCTTTAGAAGCCCCTTCCTCCACTGCCTCTGCCTGTAACACGTTACTCCCTGAGAAAAGTGGATGGGCAGGAGCACCACTGGCTTGAAGAAAGTTTACCATGGTCATCGTATCGGTGGTCACTCGACTACGGCTTGCCTGTAGGTCAAGGGAAAAGGAAATAAGATGTTCACCTGTCCGGAGTAAATCTATGAAATCTATAATCCACAGTACCAAAGTGCATATGAATTTGAAACGTTTCTTTTCTTTGTTTTTGTTTTGCTTTTGATTTTTCCTTGTTTTTTTTTGTTCCCTCGCCTATGTTTTTCTTTTCTTTTCTTAGCCCTGAATGCACAATCTCATCTCAACTCAAAATTCCCATTTCTGTCACTTAGGTTATTATCTACCACATACAATGCTTTTGATCTTCAATCAATGATCTTCAATTTATAACTAATACAGAAACATGTGTCTTCAATGGTGAGTGAATATTTACAGCAAGGACTTGATATGGTTTACCTGAAGTTCTTGATCTGACATGTTAGTTCCATCTGGAAGGGAGGCTCCATGAACGACCAGTAACTTCATGTCATTGCGGTGCAGGAATGCTAGGTTTGAGCTCAATGCTTCCAGCTACAATGTGAAGAAAAAAGAAGAAGAAAGATACAAGGTAATGAAGGAAAACAAAATAAGGAATTGCAAGTTGTTCTTGGTAATTTAAGCCTGAATGTACATATATATGCAAGATTGCTTAGCAGAGATATTACAGGTAATGGTAATGTGGTGTTATTTTGCTGCAAGTCAAATATATAGGAAATTGTGCAACTGCCACACCACCCAGGCAAAGAATCCTGGATCTGCTGATGTGAAAGACATTAATCATCAAGGTAGGCTAGACTGAATAGGAGGATAGAGATTACATGTAAGATGATGGCAAAGAAGGAGAAGAAAAAAATCCTGAAGATGTAGACCTTAAGATGACACAAATAGAGGAAGAAAAAATTATTATCATAACATACTTTAATGTTACAAAATTTTGTAAATATTAGGTACAGTGTACAGAAAAGGGACAGGGGAAATGAAATGATATCGATCTTTCTTCAGAAACCTAAGCAGCCTTTGTGCGTAGGACCAGCATGCACTTGTGCCACGTACGCCACGGCTGACTTAACAAGCACAAGGGTCAATACGTCTAGTCTACCCAATTAAATAAGACATCCTGACAATACAATACATTTCCAATTCATTACTTATTCATTACTTGGGTTTCAACAGACAAAGGATCTCATTACATGTACTCAAGACATTCTAAGGATGTTATGTGCCCTTGCTAGCTTCTATGCTATATTCTCACTCCAAAATAAGAAATCAAATAAAGACTGCTCAAAAAATTGTAATCAAACAATCATTCCAGCATGACAATTCATTTGCCTTCACATTTGCAACAGTTCTTGCACATTTCAAATATCATTCATCCAAAAGCTCTCATTAGAGAGTTGAACCCCGACCATGCCCTCGGTCCAATAGTCCAGTGATTAGCAGTATCCCAGTAGACAGACTTGTGTATCTACATGTACATTTTCATGCAAGATTATGCAAGATTATTCCTGTGATTACATGTATAAAGATCACTTTTATTATGCAAGTTGGAATACATGTATACTCCTTTTCTGGAGAGGGGGGGGGGGGGGGGGGGGGGGGGGGAGAGGGGGGGGGGGGGGTGCAATGAAAAACCCAGTCAATAGTCCAAGGAAAATTGAATAATTAATGAAAATCATAATTTCAAAACACAAAGGTAGAACTACATCGTTAGGGTATGGAGTTGGTAAATGCATACCATCTCAATGAGGCTTAATGTTAGCTAAACTTTCATTCGGATTTGTAAAAAAAAAAAATTATTTAACAAACACCACAACCTGTTATACGTTTTTCATTCTGGACACATATTTTTGTGGCACTGTATTTCGCTAAGGTAAACATTACATGACTTGAGTGGAGAGGTTTAATATATTGTGTATGGTACATGTTTTTAGACAAGTCCTTTTCATAGCGCTATTACCTCTGAAAAACAGATTTGTTTTGGACTATCGTACTTTGGTTGAAAATTGTCAATCTTATTCTTAAGTTCCAAACATTTTAGCATAGATTTATGAATCCATTAATCCATAAATCTTCTGGCAGTGGCTGATATGCACTACTGGTATACAACGACAGGAAAGGGTCAAACTACCTCTAGATGACATCAACTTACAAACTCGGGTGTCATACAGGGATACTGTATCTCTCAAGATACATGTCCAGCAATCGTATGATATGCTATTCACAAACACTGATACAATATCAATGCAACATTTACCGTAAAATTGACTAATTTCACATTGATTTCCAATGCTTACTGGACATATGCATGGACACATAGAAAGGCACTCACAACCTTCATTGAAGTGCTCTTTCGCAATATGTATATTGATCCCCTATGGACAGTATTCACAATAGAGGTCTTTTCATGCTATTGTGTTTTTTGGATAAACCTATCAATGACTACAAACCAGTTTCAATAGCATTGCCTTCGCACCGCAAAGACCAGTTCAGCATAGTGTCATATCATGGACCTACTACCCATGTTTATATGCTTGGCTCAGGATCAAGCAACAAGGAAAAATGTATACAACAAATCTTGTTGTATGCAATGAACTTTTTCATATAATGCTTAAAGGGATCGTTTAACAATGTTAAATCTGAGATGCACGGCCCTACGTGTTATCAATGTCTGTGATATGGTGTAATATTGAAGCCCTAAAAAAAAAATCACGCTTCAAAATGATCAAGAAGTGCCTCAAAAAAGTAAAAATCTTTGAGTGACCGGTTTTACCATGCTCGTTTTTCCAAATAGACTTGTAGTGTTATGAAAACCGTTTGGCAAACGGTTTTCAAAATTTGTAATTTCATTCATAAATATCTTGATAATCAGATGGGCGATCGGCTTGTAAAAGTCATGGGGTTCCTGACTGACCTAAAGGTTTATAATTATCATTGCAGCATGAGCTAAATCCAGGATTTTGTTTCAGAATCTGAGACAAAGTTACCGGATCCCATTAACCTTTTTTAAGTTTTTAGTGAAACTGCATCTAAATATTCAAAATATGAATGTTTAGATTATTTGAATCACAGAAAAATTATTTTTTTGAGAATTTATAGTGTAAATTTCCTGACCAACAAAGTAAAGAAGCTTGTCTCATCCTTAGTCCCTTTAAACCGTAGCTATTTATTTGCCACATTATTTCACATTTCAAGTCAGTTCTAGATGTCCAGTTCATACTTTTCACTAATTTGAGATTTTCTTGCTAATGATAATGTAAATAAAATATTGATGGGTTTTTTGGTCAAGACATTCATGTGAAATTTCTGCAGTTGCTAACTGTTGCTGTTTGAAATGATCGACACTTCTGGCAAATAATTTAAGCTCGAAGAGGCAGTAAAGAGTACCTTATTAGTCTTTAATGAGCTTACGAAGTCAGACAATGAGTGGAATTTAACGAGGCTAATCTATATTAAGCTCCAGGTGCCTCCTAAGTTAGTCAAGTGATAATCTATGAACAAGGAGAGAAAGAGAGAACAAAAATGTGTGTCTCGATTGGCATGTCTAGTCTAGATAGATCATTGCACTTGGATGTTAACTGCAAAATGTGAAAATGATGAACATTTAACAAATTAGGACTGCGTTAAAGTTTAACCTTTTTTGCTTCAAATTTCATTTTCCATTAATCAGTATACTAACTAGATTGAATGTGTGCACTCTGTGGCCATTCTTTCATTAAAAAAAAATACATACAGTATATTGGATAAATATACAATGGTGGTGGTGAAAGGAAACATTCATCAGACCAAACTTATTCATTTTTTAGACCCTCTTTCTATTACATGTAAAAGTGTATCAAATCAGTCAATACCTAAATGACCAATAATGTAATAATGATGCTAACCAAAATTTCTTTTATGCATTTATGAGAGAAAATGATCATATAAGATGGAAAAGTATAAACATATATTTTATGTTAAATATGATATAGTTTTATTATTATATTTTGCTTGAATTCTTCTTCTTCTTCTTCAAGATAATCTGCCTCCTTCACTGCTGAAAATTCTTGCAGATGAGAATAATTCAAAATATCGACAAGAAATGACAAACTTTGAACTAATCAGAATCATGCAGAGTTTTTTGTTTGACTTTTGGAGGTGCATCTGGTCAGAAAAATAAAATGATCCAAATGGAAAGTGAATATTAACATATATCTGAAAAACTGTATTAAACAGAAACAAGCAAAATAATGGCATAATTGATGATTAACCATTTTTGATAACTACAATTATACTGCTGTAATGTAGAGATAAGATTATGTAGGTACACAGGACAGTGCATTGGGCATCCCATTTCATTTATCAATCAAGCAGGGTAAGATCAATTGAAGTGGATATACTCCTCTACCTGGGACATGGATATATAGGATTACAAGTATCTATGGACGGCAGCTAGTCTGAAAACACAGACATACATTCAAATATATTTCATCTTGAATCGATGTTTGCACTAGCTTGAGCAAGTTACAGGGCCACATTTCAGGAATCTTGCTATGAATAACAAGTACCAAGAATATATACAAGCTATTGAAATCATCACAATTGAATGGCTGCGAACAAATTTGTTTTAGAAATGTATCGTTTGATGTTGATATCAAGTTTTTGTGACTCAGGGACCTAGCCTACAAAGTTTGAGTCATTAGTTACACCGATGCAATGTCAGAAAGCATGATGTGGGCTAAATCTTGTATAATAATGCATCCTTTTAAAATCATTACAAAAAGAAAACATGAAAGAAAACATGTTAAAATCAATGATTCTGAGCTGAAAGAGGTTTCATAAAGTAACTCAACGTTACGATATAATAAGGGAAATAAAATGTCATTGTGTGTGTGTGTAAGTACCCTTATGAATGATATGCTGATTCATCTACATGTACTTTGAATTTAAAAAAAAAATGGTTTACAACATACCAGATCAGGTTTTTGAAAGATTTCCTGATGGACTTGGACTACAGCAAAGGGCTTGGAATGGCTGCCTCCTAGACGCTGAAACTGTTTCAACCAATAACGGGCTTCCTTAGGATCTGTTCCCACCTAGTGTGAAAAAATAGGAAAAGAACAGAGATGCTGATTGGTTAATTCATGTTGCAAGATGTTGAGTTAATTTGTTTTACTTCCATTTGAATACACTGAAATAAAAGTAAATTACAAAGGATAGAAAAAATAAGTTTAAAAAGTTGATCATTTAAATAAATGAAGCAAAAGGAAAGCTGAAATAACATTACTTTTATGTAAAAAAGGAGTACATCTAAAATATAATTTGTGACTCAATGACAATGTGCATCTATTGTATAAATATTGGGTATCAGTATGAAAAACAATATTTGCAATTCCTGAACAAAATCAATTTGAAAAACCAATTTATTATCCTCTTTCCACTAGAGCGAAATCTGTATTCATCAATCAATGAAGAAATCCTCTATTTAATTCCCCTCTAATTCACAATTCAATTACTGGGTCAAGCGCAGTCAGCATGAACGTAATCAAATGGCTTTTTAATTATTTCTCAATTATCATAATTGCTAATGCTGGAAATCAAATCTCAGTTATTAGTCAAAGTTGACTAGGCTCCATTTTAATTTGCAATCACTCATCTATTCTCTGAAAATAAACATTTGAGATGAAAAAATAACAAGTGAGACAGCCAGAAAAATCGGTCACTCCAAAATACATGATAGCTCCAACATAAATATAGTTCAAGAAGTTAAAACTCACAACCATATTTGTGGTATTGAGGTATTATGTCTGCTATCATTTGTTCATCTATATTTCATTTCTTTTCAGCATACATGATCTGTCAGTGTCTACAGTGTAGTTCTACCAATGATCACTTTATGATTCACACAAAGTCATGGTCTCCCTTTAACAAATGTCACAAGGATTACTATCCCTTTAAACCCCTTACTTCCTATTTCTGCCTACGAGAGCTACGTGCAGTATCCAATGACTACCTACTCTCAGTCACCGTATACATTCTATCGAGTGGTTTCTTGTTTCTATAATCAGTCAGCTACCTGTACCAAGGTCTACGGTACTTATACAGAGAACAATCACAATGTTCGTTTGCACACATAGAATAATGTGCAAATACAGTTTTTATCATTTGCAAACAATACCGGTACATCAACACACATCCAGTCTCACACGAATGTGAAAATTTATCATCATAATTAGTCAGTACACATCGAATAGATGAAATATATTTCTAGAACAGAGAGCAATTTATATCTATAAGTAATATGAGCATACAGCAAATGTTAAAATGTTTTGTTCACAGATGAAGAATATTTTTTTGGTACTCTTATAATCAATAATTTTTATTTCGTCAATACAGTTATTATTTTTGCAAAATATTTTATATTCACTTTTAAATTCATGGAATTTACATGTACCTCTTCCAAAGGAGTCGCTCAAAATACAAGTACATACTACATGCTGTATAATGTTATCAGATATGCAAAAGTTAATTGCTAATATTCCTATAGCAAACTGGAATACATGTACAATACCACAAGAACCATTTTCAAGCATAGAAGTATGTGGACATTTTTTGTTCCAACTTGTTAGAAAGTTTGGATTACCCAAGATTTAAGGGCTTCCATCTCCAAATTCAAGCACCCATCAAGAACTTTATCACAGTGAAGTCAGGTGCTCCTTAAAAAACTGGAGTCAGATTCGAGAAGCTATCAAGGTCTCTGGAGTGGACATCAGAAGATCACTTTCAAGTAACTATGACCCCGTTCTCACTCACTTTGAAAGTGGTCTTAGTTAGACCGCTCCAGAGGAACGCGTCTTGAGGAACGGTTTGCGAGCGTACACACTCCGAGCAGTTTTTAATGGCTCAAACCGCTCCACGAGTCAAAGTGGTCTTGTTGCTATGGCAGCTCAGGTCAACAGATCAATTTTTTCGCGCGCGGAATACAAACCGTATGTACCCTACTACATGTTTCGCACCGAAGGTCACTAGCTCACTTCCGTTCAAAGTACGCTCTCCGTTCACATTGCACGTTAGAGCGCTCCAAACCGCTCTTAATAAGACCCGCTCCTCAAGACCACCTCGGAAGGTGGTCTTCTGGAGCGGTCCAGAAGTCCACTTCCTGGACCACTTTGACCGTTCTCACTCACCTAAGAACTGCTCCTGAGGAACGGGTCTTAGTTAGAGCGCTCCAGAGCGCTCCAACGAAGTGAGTGAGAACGGGGTCTTTAATAGCTAGCCTATGTGGAGTTTGTGTCCTATAATGGTTTCATTCACCAAGCTTTTTTTTCCCTTTCTTCTTCTTTTTTTCTTTTTCTGGAATACACAAACATAAAAAACATACACACAAACAAAAACAAGGCTGATGCTTTTCTGATATACATTAGTGCATGTAAAATAGCTCCAGAACTTCATACAGTGGGCAATTTTTGTGCACCTTATTTACACATATTGACATACAATTTACATTATGTGAAGGTTTACTTTTTGTAGATCAAGGACGGCTAAATGCCCCTTTTTCTAAGGTTTCTTCATTTAATAGTGATTACAAATTCCTGTATAGTAACAAACATATTACAGTGAAGCTGATATACTGTAAACCTGAATGTAATCTACAGTATAATGATTCCAAGTACTGCTGATGTGTGCATTCTACCCAAAACTTTACAAATTGCACAATTTTCATTTGTTTTTACAACCACATTCTATACTTAGTTTCAAGATCCCTTCTAGGGATGTTTTATGGCTCATGAAAACACTCTTACAAGCACAGGAAGTTCTAATGAAATGTAATCTTGCATGGATCGAGCAATCAAAATATCAGCAGACATTGATTGAATGTGGCCAAATTCTGCAACAAAACAATTCTGTATAGCGCATAACACATAATGTACATGTAGGCATACTTGTCTCTATGCGCATTACAGAATAGCATAAAGCAGTGGAATTGGTGCACTGGGTTTATAATTATGAGATCTTACAAAGTAGTATCAAAATAGATATATGTTTACAAATTACATCTGAAATTTTCATACGTTTCAATATTTTGAAGGTATTCTGGCATTTTATTTCAAACAACAGTGGCTGCATATGAAAATGACATTTCCCCATAAGATTTACAATGTAGTCACAGTTTGTGAAGCACAAATTAAAGACTTTTTTTTTTTACTGCAATGCAGAATTTTTTCTGGTTAATAATGTATTCAATTCAATGAGATATGACAGAAAAAACTGATTATTAAGTTAATAAAAGATTGAAAGTACTTTAAGCTTGATACGGGAGTGAATAGGTACTTAGGTAGCCAATGTAAATTTGTTATGACTGGGGATATTGATTCATGTTTCTTTGTCCATTTTGCACTGCTGAGTTTTGAATAACTTGCAATCTTTAAATTTAATAAGATGGAAGACCAAAAAACAAACATAGTGTAAATGTGTACAATGCATAAACTTTGGTTAAAAGTCAAAAAATTAATCTCATGATTTCAAAAATTCAATCACAGCCTACAGTAATATTTTGGTAACTGGAACTTGAGACATGGACCCAATAGCAATGCAAAGTACAGGTTTGAGAAGCATGTGGTTCAGACAGAAGGGGGGGGGGGGGGAGCACTCTACTACCGGTAATTCAAATGAATGAGCACAATCATGACAGGATTAAGAACAGGATATGTAATACAAACACTACTACATCATGCTATCTACAATGTAGGCCAACATACTAGTAGATGCCTTGATGAAGATGTAATATAGCAGCTGTCTATGCAGTGTTCTCTATTCTAAGAAAGAATATGGTTGACCATCTTAGACCTTGGATGCATCATGGGGTGACCTCCGAGGTCATCTTGGTGATTCAATCATAATGTATGTACATGTATGTGTATGCCCTGGAATGCCTACATGTATGATGATTAGGCAGGTACAGAGTCAACAGAGATATTCTTGAAGTGTCTTACAACAATTTAGGCATTCATATGTGATTGGATATAGTATTCATCACAATATTCAGGATCACTGAGGCATGGAATTTCAATCAATAAGTTCTTTAGTACTTTAGATCCAGTGCCACTATCTTTGGATAAAAAGAGTATATTACTGAACCTTGCAAAATTCATTTTCCAAGCTCCACATACATGTACTGTATACTTGAACTGTCCGCAATTCGCATGATGATGATGGGAATGTTAATGATGTTAATCATTAAACTTGAATGGATGATTTTTATGCTTAACATTAATAATGACAAAGATGATGAAGATAGTAATGCATTTACGATGATCAGAAGCATGATGTTTCAAAATGACTATAATAACAATGAAGAATAAAAGAGAATAGAAAGATGTTTTAGGTTCTGGCACCAACTACCAAGATACAATGGTACAATTCTGAAAGCTACAATTGAAAAGAGCTTCACAAAAACAGGATTTATAAAAAAAACTTTTGAAATGAATTAAACTTGGTTCAACCTACTTTACTATTAAATTACTGCTGCTTCCAAAATACAAATATTGCTGGGCCGTTATCAATGATTTAGTTATTAGTTTGAAACTTACAAACTACTCTCATTACCAGATAAATTACCAGTTAAAATAAAGTGGCCAAAATGTTGTTCAAGGGGGGGGGGAGCAATTTGGCAAGAAACAAAGTCCACAGAGAGTGACAAAGAGAAAAGGTCGCCTCTGCCTTGTAATTTCACCTAAATGCTCAGGGCATCACACTGAGAATGAGGTCGCAGTCCACCGTTCTTTGACTATGTAAACATACGCTGTACCCTACAAGAGCCCCAGAGCCTGGAAAACTGATATACTCTACTGTCTCAGCCTGCACATACATGTATGGTGGCTTGCATAATGATCTCATGAATCCAAGAGCCTTATATACTGCTTCCTCCCAAAACAAACAAAGGGCGCACAGTGGCAGCATCACTTACAAAGTCTTACTTGCTAGTTACTATAGTATTCTACAGGAATTTTATTCCAAAATGAAAGGTACAAGAAGGTGGAGCAAAGAACTCTTGGGATTGAGGAATGATAACAAAACATAGGAAATTATTATTTCC